TAAATTATCGCCGTGTTAGAAGTAGTCTGATGATGGCAGGACATCTCAGACCCAACAATGAGCTGAGCCTCACCCAAACACATACATTTCTGTATAAAATGCCTTCCCAAGATCTGCCTAACTCAGACATGTCAGTATCTGCCTCAGGACAATAGTCAAGCAGTAAAATTGGATGAACCAACATGCCACGTCACTGCTGACTCAGGGTGGACTTGTCATCTGCTAGAACCCCAGGTCTGGCTGCAGGAATGGTTTTCTGGCTTTCTCCATCCTGTGACTATGTAGTTGACTTTTTGAACCCAAACACAAGGTGCTACTTTGGGCCACTCTTAGAATCTATGGATCTTTTTAGGTCCTGTTTCTGTCATTCATTAATCTAGTATGTTAGCTAGCCTTCCCAGCTTTGTAATCAGTAAATTTGATAAACAGGTCTTCCCCTCTGTGCCTTCATCTGGTCTCTGTTTACCTCTGTTTCCTCATCAAAAAATGGGGATAATAATAGCACTTCCCTCCCAGGGTTGTTGTGAGGATCAAATGAAGTAATAATTGTAAGAATCAGTTAGCACAGTCCTGGCACACAGTAGGTGTTATATAAATGTTAGCTCTTATTATCATCATTCATAAAAATATAGCACAGACGTGTTCAGTGCTAGAGGCCTAGGATGCTCTGGATTTGAGATCTTTTAGGTTGATGTTGATATTAACATGTTTTGGGCAGTCAGCATACCATTTCCATACCCAACCAGCTTGACTGCTGTCCAGTCTTTAGTTTTGCCCACTAGGTTTTCATAGGAAGCTTTGTCTTTGATGTTCCATGAAATCAAGTCGATTCTAGCTGGGGTAGCCCTTGAGCCTCTAGATGAGTCTAGTAACCTGTCAGAAAAGGAGATAAAGCCAGTCTGCTGTGACTGTTCTTAATGAATCTACATGAATATTCAAAATTAAATTAAAATATTTAAAATGCTTTGTAAATTTTAAGGTGCTGTATAAGCATTATTTCTTTACTGTGCAGGCTGTCTTACTTTAATTAGTGGTCACTAACCATCGCATTAATAACATGATCTAGAATTTTATCAGTTATTGATGTCAGTCTCACAGGTTTCTGTCTTATGTCTCGGTCTCTCAGACGAACCCTTAGGTTCACGGGTCGATGCTTTGTCAGAAGATCATCCTTGGCCGTGTTGGGCAAGCCTTATTACAGACTTCCCTAATAGCAGAGGGCCCAGATGCACCACCACACACATAGCTAGCTGCCCAGCTGGCTTTTTCAGGGTTGGGTGCCCTGCAGGGTTCCCAGGGATGTCCACTAGAGGGCCCAGGACAGAGCCTTGGGAAACCCAAGTTATTCTGTGTGAACTAGAGGAAGATCCATCAAAGGAGACTGAGATGGAGCAGTCAGACAGGAGACCCAGGAGAATCTGTAGAGGAGACAAGATCCAGGAGTAGGAGTGATGGACAGGTCAAGAAGGATGAAGGCTGAGAAAAGACTGTTCCATTTGGCAATGAAGTGATGGCTGATTACTTTGGAGGGACGATCTTCAGTTGAATGAGGAGGTTGGACGCCAGATGTCTGAGGGTTAGAAGAGAGTGAGAGGAGAGGAAGTGTAGACACCTATTGTGGATGGCTTCTTTGAGGAATTCAGCCATGAAAGGGAGGAGATGCAGAAGTATTGTGAGTGGGATGTTCAAGTGATCTGGTGATAGTGGGATGGCTGGGTTAGTGACAGTTTTTTAAAGAGAGCAGAAATAAAAGGTTTATAGGCAGCAGTTAAACAGCTATTAAATGGGGGAAAGATTGAATATTGATTACTGTGGTGCTGATAGAAGTCCAGCAGTCTGCTGGAGAAGATGGAATGGAATGGGGTCAGTCGTGTATATAGAGAGATTTACCTCAGCAAGAATGGCCACTTCATCACATAGATTGGGTGAAGATAGAAACTAGAGGGGGAAGACATCTGAGTGATGTGAATGAGGAGGGGGAGACAAAACTCTCCTTGAATGGCCTTGGTTTCTTGAAGTGTGAGGCAAGGCCATCAGCTGAGGGGGTAGGGGGAAGGAAGGATGAAAAGATTTGGACTAGCCACTGTAGTGAATAGGATAGGGAGCTGATTAGGGACAAATAAAAGGATTGCCTGGCTGCAGGGAGGGCTCAGCTGAGATTCTGTATTGTAAATTGTAATGGATTCACTTTGTATGCTTTCTTGACTTTCCTCCAGCTCTGTTGAGCAGCATGCAAATAGGAATGAGGGTAATAAATGGCAGGAGTAATCCAAGGTTGGGTTTTGGCAAAGCATGATCAGTGATGGCCTAAGTTGGCAAGGGCTTGGCGTGTCAAGGATGGGCCACAGTTGAGTTGTTCTTGGGGTGGGGGGGGATGGAAGGAGAGTGTAGCCAGTACTACCTTTGAGAGAATTGTGGGATGGAGGGATTGGAGGTCCTGGTAGAGATGGAATAAGGTTAGAGTTGTAGGGTGGACGGAAAGATGGCAAAGGATTTTCAAGAGGTTATGAACTTGTGGGTGATGGCAGGCTCAAGGGGTCCCTCGTCTCACTGTGTAGCTGGAGTGGGGTGGGAGAATAGGCCATAATAGAGTTGAGGATTTAGAGGATTTGAGGAAAGATTAGTATGTGTGTGGAAGTCCCCTAGTGTGAGGGCAAGAGTTTGGGAGAAGAGAGAGACTGTGAGCCAGGAACTGAAAAGATTGAGGGAAAAGGAATGTATCTTGGGGGTTTGATAAATTAACAGCTATCACAGTCTTCACTGGATGATACATTTGGAATGAAAGAATCTCAAGGCAGCTGAGTAATGGGGGGAGAGGCCATGGGAAGCAAGGATTTTTCTGACTCCCCCGTGATCGGTAGTGAATTGAGGGGTCTGAGTGAAAGTGTAGGCAGTACTGTGAAGTGTGGCCATGGATGCCATGGGTGCAGGAGAGAGAGGGAGTGGGAAAGGAAGACAGGGAAGGTAAAAGCCAATTCATTCTTGAGACCACAGTGGAATGAGTAGGTAGATCTGGAATATGACTTGGGGGAAAGGGGAAAAGAGTAAGGGAATGAGCAGTGGGGGTAGTGGGGAATGGGGTTTTTCAGTGATAGCCTGGGATTCAGAATCTCTGGGAAGCATGTTAGCCATTGAGGAATGAGTCCAAGCAGATTGTTAGTGGCTAGAGAGAAGTCACTTGAGGGAGACAGACTGATGTTTCAGGGGCTTTGTAGCAGGTATAGATGCTGAATCCTGTGAGGTCCAGGAATCCAGACTCTGAACAGGCAGAAGGTGGTTGATACTTCTGCCTTAGAGAGTTGCCTAGAACAAAGCTCCCCCACCATATTAAAGTGTCATTGGGCAATGTTTAACAAAATAAACATAAATGTAGTACAGCATAGAGAATGTTCATTTGTGTTTTTCTAAGTCAGTTTGTGCCCCCCCCCACCCCCGGATCTGCTAGCTGAAGCAGAACTTGAATCCAGGGCTTCCTGGTTCTAAGGCCACCTCTCTATCCTGTAGCCTGGCCTCTCACGCTGTTCGTGATGAGAAAAATCACCTAATCTTTCTGAGCCTCAGTTTCTTCATCTTTAAATAATTTGATAGCATTTGAGTTATTACCTTACAAAAATATTGAGTGGAAAGAATCAGTTTTTTTTTTTAAACTTTTAGGCAATTAGGGTTAAGTGACTTGCCCAGGGTCACACATCTAGTGTCAGGTGTTTGGTCTGAGGCTGGATTTGAACTCAGGTCCTCCTGACTTCAGGGCCGGTGCTCAATCCACTGCACCACCTAGCTGCCCCAAGAATCACAGTTTTGATGGAGGATTGAATCACTTTTGGACATACTAGGGATAATTATAAAGAATTATGGGAGAGGGGCAGCTAGGTGGTGCAGTGGATAGAGTCAGGAGGGCCTGAGTTCAAATGTGGCCTCATATACATAATACTAACTGTGTGGCCCTGGGTGAGTCACTTAACCCCAGTTGCCTCACCAAAAAAAGAAAAAAAAGAAAAAAGAATCATGGGAGGAGAACTTCTCAAGTTAAGATACAAGTTTACATTCTTAAAGTTGTTAAATTACTTAGAAGTTCAAAGAAATTTTCCCATGATATGTTGAAGGCATTTTCTATTGTTACTTTTAACCATGAAATGGTTGTAGTAGAAATGTCATTATTTGTAATAAAATAGAGAGAATACAGGATTCAGAGGCCCTGGGTTTAAATCACGGGTGTGCTACTCAGTGGTTCTGTGACCTTGGTTCACTCACTTCATCTCTGAGCCTCAATCTGTAAAATGGAATTGTCATACTTACTCTTGCTGCTTGTAGGACTTTGGGAACTTCAGTTCATATCCCTGACCTCAGTTGCCTCTTCTGTAAAAACTGGACTAGAAGACTCCAAGGTCTGTGCCACTTGAAGGAAAGGTAGATTTGATCATGGGGTGGAGAGGTGGCCCCATTCAGGCCTTGGAAGGTCAGCAGTGCTGGTTAGGGCCCGTTTCTGTGCATGCATCATTTTATTTGATTCTGACAGCCACCCTGGAAGAACCTAGGATTTAGAGCTGGTTGAGAAATCATCTGGGCCTGCTCCCTTTTTAAATGTGGGAAAGTTGAGGCCCAGAGAGCTCTGGAGATTGGAAGAGGCTGGACTGGAAAACAGATCTCTTGTGGCTCCAAATTCAGGTCTCTTTCCGTTAAATCGTACTGTCATGAGATAGGTGACTTTTAAGGGAAAACTGAGGGTTGTTAAGTTACTAGTGGTTTGATGGGTGCTTTGTTTTCTCCCAGGCAGGGTCTAGACCAGTCTTAAACTGAGGTCTTTGACTTCTGGGGGTAGTCAAATGCAGGCTTTCATTTTTAAGCATAAATTTAATTCTTCATACATATTTTTCTTCTAGTTTTTAGAAAAGTTTTGACCATGTTAAGTCGATATCTTGGTTTAATATATTATTTTAAAGTATCTGCTGAGTGTGAATGTTGATCTTATTTTCTAATCCATCTTTACCGTTGTTTTGTAGGTAATTTATCCAGAGCATTCCAGACTTAGTGATAAAGAAGTAAGTCTGTGTCTTTTCCTGCTTTTCATTTCTGTTGGATGCCTTGGCAGCACATATACCTTTTGTTTCCTTTTTCAGAAAACGAATATTTGCTATCTGTCTTTTCCAGATTCGAACTCAGGTAATGTTTTTATTGCATCACTAAATGTGTGTGAGTGCGGCGGGTGTTGAGGCTGGAGCCTGCCTGGGAGAGTCCAGGGAGGGAGCTGTGCCAGGCAGGGCCCTTGGGAGCTTCTGGCTGAGTCCAGCAAGCTGAGGTGGTCTGCTGCTGCTGGGAGGTGCACGAAATCTGAATACGTTTTCAGAGGAAAATTTTATTTATTTCACTTTAATTTAAAGAATAAATAGTTTCCATGATTCTTTTAAGGATAGAGGGAGGCATCGTGAAATCCAGAGACACCACAAGTTGGACAAGCTGATGGAGTGGCTGCAGTTGGCCCGACGTTCAGATGGGTTTCCCAAGTTTACCAGCAGTGGGTGGCCTCCAGTCAGTGTTAGTGACCAGGCCAAGGCTTGGCAATCAGAGTCCAGTTACACAAGAGAGGGTTAACAGTGGCAGACCCCGGGAAAGGCGAGTTCAGCTGAGGAGCATATTAGTGGGGGTCCTTTCCTTTGGACCAACCTCCTTGTGTGTGGTCTGGGTTGCTGACAACTTCCAGCTCCCTCCAGACCTCCCGATGGTGCTGAATCTACCACTGGCAGGATGGCACCTGGTGAAGCAGGCACGTTTTAGTGCTGTTTTTGCGTGCTGCTACTTATACAATTAATTCTATAATAAGAATTCTCTTTCTCTGATTTGGGGGACTTAGAGACCATTTTTAACATTCCGTGTTTTTTTTTTTAAAACTACATTTTTTTCATGCTTCCGAATTTTTGCTACAGATTTAGAAGTTGTGAAAACAGCTTCTTCAATCACTTCTAAAATAGTCATATAAAATTGATGTACCTCTGTGGACAGGCCTTTTCTGGACTTGTAAAATTTATTGCAAAATTAAGAACAATAAATGTGTATGGGGTTATTGCCTTCGAGAGATTCTAGAAGGGCTTGTAAGGATTATGAGATATTGGTCTGTCTTGCCTTTTTATCAAAATGACCTAAATATTTAGAATTTTTGCCTACTGATTAATGGCACCGCTAGTTTTTATTAAATCAGATCAGCTGAAGGCTGTGTCTATGGGCTCCTTCCCCGTCGGGCTGCATTTGCCCTTCTGCATAATATGGGGTTCCATCATCAAAACCATTTCCTCTAGTCAGTGAACTTAGCTTGCCACAAGTGGGGCAGACCCCATGTGAGCCTCCCTGTGTGGCTAAGGGTAGTATGTCAGGTGGGCCTTGTGGCTTTTGTGACCCTTAGCTGGCCATTTTGGTCCTTTCTACCCCTGTGTCAACAAATACGTATGAAGTGGCTGCTCTGTTTAAATAAAGGTGCTTGGCAGGAAGACCAGAATTGACAGTCAGCCTCAGATACCTGGGGAGTCACTTCTCTACTTGCCTCAGTTTCCTCATCTGTAAAATGAGGATAATAATAGCACCTACCAGCCAGGGTTGTTGTGAGGCTCAAATGAGATTACATTTGTAAAGTGCTTTGCAAATCTTGAAGTGCTACATAAATACTAGCTATTACTGGTGAATCAAAGATGAAATAAGATGCGATTCCTGCTTTGCAGGCATTATGTTCTCATACTCTTCTTCCCCAGTTTTCAAAGGGAAGAACTTAACTATTCATCTGGGCACCAGGCTTAAGTAGTGAGGGGATGGTGCTGAATGGTGCTTCTTTTTTTTTTTTTTTGGCTAGGAAATGAGGTTAAGTGACTTGCCCGGTGACTTACCCAGGGCCACACAGCTAGTAAGTGTTATGTGTCTGAGGCTAGATTTGAACTCAGGTCCTTCCTGACTCCAGGGCCAGTGCTGTATACACTGCGCCACCTAGCGGCCCCACTTGAATGGCGGTTTAACATCTATTTACTATTAGTCTTTTTTTTTTTTTTGAGTTAACCCTTTATTCACCCTGTCTACTTCTGGAAGGTAAGGCTGAGATCTGTCCCTTATGTCCCTTTTTTCTTGATTGAAGAAATCTTTCAGTACTTCAGAAAGATGTGTGGGGTCATCAGTGTGAGTACGCTTCCCACCAGGCTCTCTATGTCTTAGTGGCAATGTCTGGAGTTGCTGTGCCTAAGGAATTCTTTACCTGGTGGCGGGTCTGATATGGAGCCTGTGTGAACTTAACTAGACTGATGCTTGGGAGGCAGATGCGAAGTCCATTGCTGAGATTGGCCCTGGCCTTTCCAGCTTTGTCTGCTGGCCTAGCCCTGGCTTCTCCTGGGCATAGGCTTTTCATGCCCCTTGAAGGCACTGGGACATTATGTAAGCATCGAGGCTTAGGACTTAAATAGAAGCGTACATGTCCATAGTTAGAATATATCTTCTGTGTTATGAACAGATGTGTGCAGACCGTAGCTGTTTGGTATTTTTTGGAGGAAGAGTTTAAAAAAAAAAGATCCTGGCTAGAGAACTGATGAGATCTCTTCTGGGTCCAGATTGATGATCCTCTGACCTGATCCCCTAAGTGAAGTAGGGCACATCTCCCCCGCAGATTGTGTGGTCTGAGTGAACTTGATCTCTCTGAAAGCAGGCATCTCGCCATCCTGACAGATGAGCGTCAGTGCAGGCAGCCAAGAGACCACACAGTGGGAATGTGATTTAGATCATTGTTCTCTTTGGTGACTCTCTAAACAGCTGGTTGCTCGTCATGTGTTTTATTAAATGGAGCTTGTTATGGCTGAGCTAGTTCTGAAATGGATTTACTTTAAAAAAAAATCTCTAAATAACTTTTATTGCTGTGGAAGGAAACCCAGGAGCTGTATTGCATTTTTCAGGAAACAGTAAAAATGGAGTTTTGGTTTCTGTGGAGTCGGCAGAAAAAATGAAACCATTTAGGTCATTCATTTACAACGAGTCAAGAAAATGTAGGTAGATATTGTAGGGAAGAGTCCTCAAATTTCCAAAGAAATCTCTCCCCCATTCCTCCCAGCCTCAGGAACTTTTACCACCACCCTTCCACTTAAAATAAACAATATTTCCTCTTCTCACCCATAGCTTAGAGCTGTTAGAGAGGTATTGCAGTGTTTGGACCTGGGGAATCCTTGCTGCATGAACTCTGGTGATATCTGAGAATCCTTACTGCCTGAGGCGTGTGCAAACCATGGCAAGATTAGAGAAACCTTTTCTTCGGCATCTGCAGACATTTCTTAGGGCAGCGTGGGTGAGACCCAAGAATGTAGATCAGTTCTACAAATGCTTTGTAACTATCTACCTCATGTGCTAGATGACAGTGAAAAACAGGTCCTGCCCTTGAGGAGCTTAGAGTCTCCTGAAAAGATGATTTAGGGGGACATGGGGAAAGCATTAGTCTTCATTGCTGAATCTTTTTAGAGAAAATGGGCCACAACAACTGTGCATTCTCTAAATAATACTCCTCTTGTGTGCCTCTCTTTTGGGGTATTCCAAAAGCAGCTTTCAAAATAAGCTTTCCATGTTCTCAGAAATCTTCAAATGCATACACGCCTCCTAGCTTAGGGGACAAAGGTTCACAAGAAGCTCCTGACAAATTCTGTTCTAAGGCTTCATTGAAAGGAGGTGCCACCCAGAGGCTAGTCTTGTTGCTTAAAAATTCAGGAAAGGCATCTAAGAAGATAATATGGCCACAGTCAATGCTTTCATTTTAATGGATTTATTTTCTACAATTAAGTTTTTACCTAAAGTTCATTTAATGAGGTAAATACACAAAACATTCCCTCTTTAGAAACATAAATTTTTAGAAGCCCATTCCTCATTTTGGTTTAGCTGGAGATTTTAATAATATATAAAAAAACAAAACCAAAGCAGCTCCTGGTGCAGCCACACATGCTGCACTGTACATGGAAATATGCTAGATGAGGAGTTTCTTGGCTATAAAATAAATATATAAAAATCCATTGCTCTTTGCTGTTAATGGAGGATTTAGAAAAAAACTGATATGAGAGCTGAAATTCTGTGTAATCACATTTAGTAATACCTCGTGTTCTACTGCAGCGTGTTCTCAAGTGGACTTTTAATTCTTTGTATTTTGTAGGCTCTGAAAAGAGAAAGGACTATCTCTGTGATAACTTTGGGATAGGGTACTTCCCTATGACAAAAACTACCCATGCTGATTGGCATCTTCTCTGAAACTTAAGCCTGGGAGCATTGCCCGGAGCACGAGGAGTGCTCAGGGGACTTGTCTCAGGTCATTCAGCCAGCTTGGGTCAGAGGCAGGATTTGATCTCGGGTTCTGCTTGTTCTTTCTGAGGATGGCTCTCAGAGCACCAGCCACACAATGCCCCATATTATCCCTGGGGCCTTAGAAAGTAAGTCATTTCAGACTGGGTGTGGGGTTGGACTGACTTCTCAAGACCCTGCCCACTCTTAATGATTTATGATTCCTGAAGGCCTGACAGGGTCTTTGTTACCAATGGAAATACAGCAATTACAAATTAATATCTTTGTGAGAAGAAGAATAGGAAAGGTAGAAGAAGTATGAGTTTTTAAGGTTAGGGTTCCATTATTGGTCAATGCAGGCCTTTGTTGGAGAGTGAGCTGGGCCCCCAGTCATCCCCTAAACCCTCTTCTGTGCTACTAGGAGGGAGGCTCTGCGTACTCTTCAGCTCTGCTTTCGTGCCAGTCCCTTGTACAGAGCTGCTCTGGAAGTCTGGCTCACTGAAGGAAAAAGGGTGGAAGAAGCCAGGATTCCTGTGGATCAGTCACAGAGGACCGTGTAGGCCAGTCATATTACCTCAACACTGTGACTTCTTTTGGTAGCTTTCACATGGAGGCCCCTTTGTTTTCAGCTGTAAGTAGTAGAGGAAAACCTGGCCCAGGTAGCCAGAACTTTGGCAGTTCTCATGCTAATCTAGCCTGGAGTCCTTAGTAATCACTTTATAGCTTTTTCAAAAGATATGGTAAGGATTTGTTGTTTTAAAAATATTATCAATGCCTCTGGCTAAACCTTGTTTCAGTCTGGACTTTTGATAAACTGCTTTTTAAATTGGAGAGTGTTTTATGAAACTAAGTGAGCTTCAGTTAAAACTTAATGGTTAAAAATAAATTATAATGAAGAAAACAAATAATTGTCTATGAGCATTTCAAAAGAAAATTAACAAGCATGAAAATGTCATATACAGAACTGAGGTTTTAGCCCCAGCTTGGTCACGGCTTGGCTGTGTGATCTTGGACAGGTCACTTTGGGGTCCTCAAAATGAGCAGGTAGGTAAGCTCTGGCCCCTCTTACCTCTAAAATTTTGTGATTCTGTGTAAATAAAGTGTTAGGCTAAGCTGTCCTCATTTCCCTCTTTTTATTTTTGTTTTCATCAGGCTGTCTTGGAGATACGCAGTTTTGTTTCAGGTTCCGACAGTCTTCTGGCCGGAGGATATCAGCTCGATGTATCCAGGATCAGTTGGACCGAGACTCACCTGTGTATTTAAAGGTTAGAACAATAGTAACAGGAAAAGGTCATCGTGGTAGAGAAAATGGTCAGCATCGGTGTGCATTTATACAGTCACACACTGGTTGTGTCTGGCAGAAATGCTCGTGCTTTCGTTTGCATCCTCCAGTGATACCTCTAGGGGCTGTAGAGGGAAGGAAGCTGATTGCTTGGGAGCTCGGAGAAGCCTCCACAAGTTCTTGAAGTATACTAAAGTTTCGTTGAAGATTTCAGGAATAAGTTAGAATGTGATCGTTCTGTACTTTGTTACTAGCCCTTTTGTCTCGATTGGGAATCTGAGCCAAGTGGCTTTTTTACCAGGTTATCACCCTAAGCAACACAAAGCTTCCAACAACGCTGTATGTATTGAGGAGGGGAGAAGGAAACTTTTACTAGATGGGTTCTATTTTTCAAATGGTTTTTTTTCATTTTTCTTATTCATCTCTGTTGTCTTTTAGCATTTTGATCATATGATTATTTTATTCCTGGATAAGATTAAGCAAAACTGATTCCTGAATTCTGTGTATAGTACTTAAATGTTTTACTATTCAAATAGAAGGTTGGGTTGAGACCTTTTGAGTCTCATCTTATTTTTGGTGTGCAAAGAAATATGATTTTAACAAATACTGAAATAGGATTTAATTTTATTTTACCTTTTTGGCAGAAAGATCCTGCATATTTTTATGGTTATGTGTATTTCCGACAAGTTCGAGATAAAACACTAAAAAGAGGCTACTTTCAGAAGGTAATTTATAGTCTTTTATAAAAAATTCCTTTTTGGTCATGAAGCTAAACTTGAATACAGAAAAGAATTGTATAGAAAAATCAACTTTTATTGCATTTTTTTAAGTGTATATTAAAATGGTAGTAACAAAATTGCCCTGCATGTCTCTTCCCTTCTGATCTTCCTTCCATTCTCTTCTGTGGATTTTAAAAAGTTTGGTGTATATTTTCTTGCTTTTCTTATTCATTTTCAATTGCTATTAAGATCCACCAACTCCTCCCTCCTCCCTTCCTACCAGAAACAACCTCTCCTGTAACTAGGAAGGAAAATCCCGCAAACCCCCACAGCACTTTGGTGGGGCTGAAAACACCCTCCTCATTCTGTACCTTCCTGTTCCTCTGAGGGTCTTTGGGAATTGTGCTTTCAGAATCATTCTCCATTACGTGCTCATGTCTCTCTGCATCAGTTCCTACAAGTCTTCCCAGGTTTCTCATCATTGAAGGGAAGGCTCCCTCATGTGGCTGTGCCCGTTTGTGCTCCATTCCCTGATTGATGCTTCCCCTCTGGGTTTCCAGTTTGTTGTTTGAACAAAACATGTTACTCTAAATATTTGAGTACACATGGTTCCATCCACGTACTTTTCAAATGAATTAAGCCAACTTACATTTGTGCCATCAGGAAAATGAGGTGTGGCCATAAAGTGTGAGCAGCTTTATTAAAGAAGGCAGAGCCAGCCTTCGACATCTTTAGGAGAGTTGTCCCATCACCCAGAGGCTTATTCTAGAAGAAGGATTGTTGCTTAGAACGTTTTTGTACCTTCCTTCTGTGGGACAGATCGCCCCTTCTTTTGAGCATCTTCGACATTGGCAGATTTATTGTTTTAAACTGCATTCCAGTGGCGAGACACAGTGTGGCTGCTTAGGAAGATCTGCATTCTATAACACATATACACACATATGCGTACATATGCACACAAACACATTACACACATACATGATTTAGAGATATCCATGGAGTTTTAGGTTTCAGTTAGTGAAATATGGTTTCTTTTCTGTTGTTAGCAATAATAGTAATGATAATTAACACAGATGGAGCATGCTAAGTTGTGGAGCACATTTTACAGATGAGGAAACTGAGGCTTAGTGAGTTTAAGTGACTTGGCCAAGGTCACACAGCCAGCGTGTCCAAATCCAAGGCTGGATTTGAACCCGGGTCTTTCTGACCTCTGAGTATGGTGCTTTATTCATTGTGCCACCCAGCTTTTCTTTTCTTTTTTTTTCTTTTTTTTCTTTTTTAAATTAATTTATTTTGATTTATCAACAATCACTTCCATATGCTTTTGAATTTAAAATTTTTCTCCTCCTTCCTCCCCACCACCCTCCCCAAGATGGCACACAATCTGATATAGGCTTGCGCTCCTCTGTCTCTCTCTCTCCGTGTGTGTGTGTGTGTGTGTGTGTGTGTGTGTGTGTGTGTGTGTGTGTGTGTGTATACACACACACATATATATACATTCTTATTGAACATATTTTCAGATTAGTGATGTTGTAAGTAAAAATTAGAACCAATAGGAAGAACCACCAGAAACAGGAAACAAAACTCAACAGAAAAGAAAAAAATAGCAAATAGTATGCTTCGATCTGCATTCAAATTCCATAGTTCTTTTTTTTGGATGTGGATAGCAGTTTCCATCACGAGACCTCTGGAGATGTCTTAGATCCTTGCATTGCTGAGAAGGGCTAAGTCTGTCAATATTAATCATCGCACAGCATGGCTGTTACTGTGTACAACATTCTCCTGGTTCTGCTAATTTCATTCAGCATCAGAGCATACAAGTCTTTCCAGGTTTTTCTGAAGTCAGCCCGTTCATCATTTCTTATAGCACAGTAGTATTCCATTACATTCATATACCACAACTTGCTCAGCCATTCCCCAGCTGATGGGCATCCCTCTCAATTTCCAATTCTTTGCCACCACAGAAAGAGCTGCTATAAATATTTTTATACATGTGGGTCCTTTTCCCATTTGTATTATCTAACTGGGATATAACCCTAGAAGTGCTATTGTTGGGTCAAAGGGTATGCACATTTTTATAGCCCTTTGGTCATAGTTCCAAATTGCTTTCCAAAATAGTTGGATCAGGGGGCAGCTAGGTGGCACAGTGGATAGAGCACCAGCCCTGAAGTCAGGAGGACCTGAGTTCAAATCCGGCCTCAGACCAAACACTTGACACTTACTAGCTGTGTGACTCTGGGCAAGTCACGTAACCCCAATTGCCTAAAAAAAAAAAAACAAAAAAAAATGGTTGGATCAGTTCACAACTCCACCAGCAATGCATTCGTGTTCCAGTTTTCCCACATCTTCTCCAACATTGGTCTTTTTCCTGTTTTGTCATGTTGCCCAACCTGATAGGTGTGATGTGGTACCTCAGAGTTGTTTTGATTTGCATTTCTCTAATCAATAGTGATTTAGAGCATTTTTCCATATGACTATAGATGGCTTTAATTTCATCTGAGAACTGCCTGTTCATATCCTTTGATAGTGTAGAATCTTAGAGAGCTCCTGGGGATGAGAGAGGAGGTGACTTGCCCACAGCCACACATCCAGGATGTGCTAAGGCAGGGCTTGAACCCGGGACAGCGTGGTGTTCATTGCCATGCTGCCTCTCTTCTGACCATGCATGTTTACCACTCTGTGGGTTATAGTCTGGGGTGCTTTCCCCCTTTCCTTTTAAAAGCAAATAAACAAAAGCCCCGATAAAAATGGGCTTCTGTTAAAACTTTGCTGACAGGGGTGGCTCATGCTTTCTGTGTCTGTGGAGCCTGCACCTGTCCAGGTTGCCCAGCTCCTCCTGCTCTTGGGGCCGTGGGGAGACGCCAGAGAGGAAGGCAGTTTTCAAGAAGAGCGTTTTTGGGCCCAGCCAAATCCGAATTAAAGACACCAGGAGCTCATCCTGCTGCTCCGGCTGCTCGGTGACAGTCTAAGGCCTTTGCCACTGGCAGCGTGTTGTGAGGGTTGTTTGTACTTACTTTTTTCTTGTGGTTCTTTAGAGAATCCCAGTGCTTCCTCGCACGTGTGGGCAAGAGCATCCCTCATTTCCTTAAACAGCGTCAGGCTCTAACTGCTTCACAGATTTTTGCTTCTAATTAGGCAGCCAATCTGTGGTAAGCCTAGGAGGAGCGTTTGGTGGCCATTTTCATTTTATTAATAATGGCCTCTTACAGACGGCTCCTTTCAGGCCAGAATCTGCATCCATTTAACAGTAAGGCTTTCCAGCAACTATGAGTGTAGGAAGGTGAAGCAAAAATGAGATTGTTCAGCTTTTTCTGATGCCATGTTCTTTGTTTTCCAGTCCTTGGTTTTGATCAGCAAGCTGCCATATACACATTTTTTTCACACGGTGCTTAAGCAAATAGCACCTGAATATTTTGAAAAGAGTGAACCTTATTTGGAAGCAGGTGAGTAGAACATTGATGTGACCCTTGTGATGGGTTAAAAGACATTTAACTGAAAATTTTAATGAAAAATGAAACCTTCTGAAAATCAGTCAGTGAAGATTTTAAAGCTATGAATTAAAGGGGAGAAGGGAGAATTAAACTTCTAGTAGCCTTATAAATGTTTTGAAGTATTAGGCCACGTCTCCAGTTTAAAAAATAAATCAGAGTAAAATGCATGGAGTTTTTTATGAAGACAATGTGAATGTTGAATTGTTGACAGTGGATTAACAGACACCCTTATACTTAGTTCTCTTTGTCGGCGGTCCTCACACCAGACATTGCTCTTACCACCACAGTTGTTCAGTAGATCCTTAATGTCTGATAAATCTATTCTGGCATAAAATTGTAGGATCTGCTCCACTCCACTGTTGACGATCACCCGTTTATATCCTTGTTCCTATGGAATTAATTAATTGCTTCCTGTGATGTCTTTTCACCCCTGTTGTGACTGAACTTGTGATGATGTCAGGTGGGGTTCACCGCCAGCTTTGTTTCATATGGCTCCTTAAGACAATTTTAGCTACAGTAAAACAAAGGGAGAAGTCACTTAACATTCATTAAAACATTTTATTCACTGCTTTTTAAAAATTTGGGAACCTGTTTCCATCCCAAGAGAGTAAACTACGTATGTGAATCAAAAGGAAGACATTTTTCGCCTCCCCCCTTAACCATTTTTACCTTTATGTCTTTTGCAATAATGATATTAATATCAATAAATACTACTAATAAGCACTTATATAGTGTTATCTCCTTTGATCCTTACAACAACCTTGGGATGTACAGGTGCTCTTTTTATCTCAGTTTTATAGCTGAGGAGACTGAGGGTCAGAGACTGATGGACTTGCCTAGGGTCATATAAGTTAGTTTCTGAAGCAGGATTTGAACTGAGGTCTTCTTGGCTCTATCCACTAAGCCACATAGTTGCTGTAGCCCTAGGTGTTTTTCTCTAGTTTGAAGTAAATTAAACAAATGTCCTGAAGAACTGAAGTATGCTAGTATGGATATTTAGCTAACTTCTTGTTAGTTGTTTTGTTCTAATTTTGTTTGTAAAGTATGTGTTTAAATTTTTTTAATTGTACCACTCATACAAATGAGGTATTTCATTCTGTTTTTTAGCTTGTAATGATGTTGATCGTTGGCCTGCTCCAGTACCAGGGAAGATGTTACACTTGCCCATTATGGGGGTGGTTTTAAAGGTAATTTGTTCATAATTTCTTTATTGCCAAGCTCATCCCTGTTTTCCCCCCTCTGCCTGAGGAATGTCAAGGGTTTTACCTGCATCTTTACAAACCTTCATGCCTGTGGCAGTCTGATACCTGCAGAAAACGGACTTTCCCACCAGAGGAATCTCTGAGAATGGACTGGAAATGCTAAGTGGAATTAGGAAAACTATTGAAAACACATTAGTGCCATTCAAAGCATATTCTTTGGTTTTTAACACAAATTGTTATTGTCTCTCTTGTTTTCATGTCCCCTGCCTTTCACACTGTGACTGTCCCACCCCCTCAAAACACTAGGTAGTTTTGCTATTCTTTCCATTTATGTGTTGGAGCAGTTTTGTATGTTGTCTTCCTGGTTCTGTGGACTGAATTTTCCACCACTTCCTGTGTTCTCCCATGCTTCTCTGTATCCATTATTTTTTTTTTTCATAGCACAGGAATACTTCATTACCTTCATGGGGCACAGTCTGTTTAGTCATTCACCAGCTGATGGGCATCTTCTTCTTCTTCTTTTTTTTTTTACTTTTTAGGCAATTGGGGTTAAGTGACTTCCTCAGGCTCACACAGCTAGTAAGTGTCAAGTGTTTGATCTGAGGCCAGATTTGAACTCAGGTTCTCCTCACTTCAGGGCTGGTGTGGGCATCTTCTTTCATTCCAGTTCTGAACTTCTACAGAAAGTAACCTCCTTGGGCTATATGCCTAGTAGTTGAATCTCTGGGTCTGGGTCCTTTCTTTGCATAATTCTAAATTGCTCTCTGGAAGGAATTTATCAATGGATATCTCTAGCAACAATGAATTGTGGTTTCTGACCTTCTTCAGCCCCTCCAGCATTGTCCATTGCCACATGTTGTCATCTCTACCAGTCTATTGGGTACAAAGTGAAACCTCCATGTTGTTTTCATTTGCATCAAATTGTCTCAGATTCGTGATTCAGAAAATACCTTTTGGTCTTATATATATAGTACCATTGTCTGTATCTGAGATAGCAGAACCCTAAAAGAGATATTTATAAGAAGTGTTTTTCCCCTTGTTAACAGCTTCCCCCTCTTATGGTTGCATTAATTTTGTTCATGCAAAATCTTTTCAGTTTCATGTAATTGCAGTTATCTGTTTTATCTTTTGTTACTCTTTCTTCCTGGTTTGGGTAAGAATTCACCCCTTCCCCCGCAACAGTAGCTCTGAAAGGTATATGATCAGCTTCTCTTCTAATTTTTAATAGTATTTAATATTCAGGTTGCATAATTGCTTCTACTTTGTTTTTTAGTTTAATATGTTGGGCTACACCTCATTTCTGCCATATTGATTTTCATTTTCCCAGATATTCTTGTCAGATAAGTTATTTCCTAAGAAATTTGTGTTTTGCACCTCATTAAATACTGATTATTGAGTTCAGTTATTTCTCATTCTTCTAAATTAGTCTATTCCGTTGATCTGCTTTTCTGTTTTTAAACCAATATTAAAAGGTTTTGAAAATTATAGGTTCATAGCAGGCCTGTACAACATATGGCTCGTGGGCCAGGTGGTCCTCGGAAAATATAGGGTTGCCCCTGTGCTCTCTCTCTTGTTTGTCACCTGATCCGTAGCAACTAACCATCATCGGTTTGTCTGTGCTCTAACCTGTCCGTGGCCTGAAGAAGTTTTAATTTCGGCCCCTACCTACTGCCAAGTTGTGCAGGTCTGGTTTATAGTGTGGTTTGACACCTAGAAATGCTGTTCCCCCTTTGTTACTGTCTTTTTCCATTGTTTCCTTCACTTTTCTAGATCTTGTGTGTCTTCAAATGAACTTTGTAATTATTTTGTCTAAATCTGTGAAGTATTCCTTTCGTAATTTGATGGTCATAGGACTAAGTCTGTAAAATAACTCAGATAGGATGGCCATTCTAGCATACTGAGTATCAGCCCATCCACGAACATGCAATATCCCGCTCGCTCTTTAAGTGTGTTTGTTTGTTTGGTTGGTTTTTAAGGAGTACTTTGAAGTTATATTGAAACAAATATTGAGTATACTTTGGCAGATTAATTCTTAGATATTTTATAAATTTTAAACCCAGGGATGGGACTTACCTATCTATTGTTGTCCTTCTGCATTTTGTTATTGCTGTATAGAAATACTGATTTTTGTGTATTTATTTTGCTATTGTTTCAGTTAATTTCTTTGCTGATTCCCTAGGATTTTCTATGTAAGCCATCAAGTCATCAACAAACAGGCATAGCTTTGTCTCCTTTCTGCTGTCCATAGCATGTTCGTTGTTAAGGATATTGCTGACTTCTTCCAATTAATTTTATCTTAAGTGAATTTAAGCATTTGTCTCACACAAAATTGTTTTTGTATCAATGCTTCTAGTTTTCTGGCTTTTCTTTATTCACAAGTATATTATGAAGGAAAAAAACCCTATTATTTGTGTTGATATAACAGTAAGACTTTGAAAGTATCTGATGGTAAAAGGCATCTTTTCGGATGGCTTCATTTCTGAACGTTCACTGCATGTGCATTGCTGTCCATTGTGAAACTTGTAAAGAATAGAATTAAGAATTGTAAGTTAAAGCTTTGATAGAGATGTGAACGCTTGAAAGTTTTCTCATTTCTTCTGACAGTTTGTCCCAAAGCTTATTAGCCAGTTTGGAGAGGCTGTGTAGGGACGTGTGGATGTTGAGAAGAACATTGGATTAATCAGCATTAAATAATATGTTGGTGGTCATTTCTCTATTTATATTCTGTTTGCTTCCCAGCCAGTTTCATGGTATTTGTTATTAAAAATGTTAATTTGTGTGTGCTGGAGTTGACTGGGATGCTATGACTGAACATACATATCCCTGAAGTCTCTTCTTAATATAGAAATGAGTATCTTGGCTTCCCCAAAATTTTGGCATAATGAAAAATGCTATTAAACTAGTCTTAGTAGAGTGGAGATTTTATAATTTTTTAGTTTAATTTCTTTGGCAAGTTGTTATAGTTACAAAATGCACAGATGAGCCATGTTGTAGGGAAAAGTTAACGTCTTCTGTTTTCTTCCTAAGGTGCGCATTCCGACGTGCCATGACAAGCCTGGAACAACCCAGATAGCCCAGTTAACCCAGCAGGTAGATGGTGCTGAGGGCTGGGGGGGGAGGTGGGAAGGGGGGACCCTGTGGGTGGACTCCTACAGACTTGTTGCCATTGTTTATCTAGTGTGCTGAGGGTATCAGTTGATCATTTTGGAATAGCAGAGACTTGTGTTTAGACAGTGTTTGGTGTATGTTATTGAAACATATCAATGATCAACTGCTTGAAATTCCTTGACTTTTTTGTTGGGTGGATATTGGAGGAGTCAGAAATGTGTTTAGTACTTGGCGGCCGGGGTGAATACTTCAGCAAAGACCAGTTCTGCATAAAGCACTTCCCTGCATCTCATGGAACAGGGCCAGCTGGTTTCTCATTTAGGAAATTTGGTCAGAAGGATTCAGTGGGTTGGATTAGCTGATTTCAGTTATTCCTTGGGAGCACACCCACTTGTGGGTAGAGGTGAATTTTTCACTTTTAGCATCTGAATTTATTTATCCACCCACCATTCTGTAGTGTCCTGAATGTCTGCTGGATTATTTGTGTAGAAATGGAGGAAATGAAATAGCTTATTTTCACCTTTATTTGCATCAACCAGCTTAGCACTTTGTGTTCATTAAAGCTGGAGATGTACGTCTCCTTCCAAAGTATAAAAACCCGTTTTCTCTCTCAGTGTATCATATTGGTCTTCTCATCAAGGCTGGTAACATTGGGCATCTTCGATTTTTGTGATTTTTTTCCTCTTTCTCTCTTTTAGACAGACTCACAGATCTCTATGGTTTTACCTACTATTCATGAAGTGGATCTTTTCAGGTGAAAATTTAAAGCTAATTTGTTGTAGTAATTTTTACCTCTAGCCTTATTGTTCCTTCATTAATGTTAGTAGATTTTATTAGTTTTCTACTTGGGAGTTGGCCATTTCCCTCCCCTACCCATAGAGGTGGGAATGGGGCAGTGGGAATTGAGAAGAGGAAAATGATGAAAGGTTTTCAGGTACTTTAAATTACTGACTAGGAGGCATTTTTTTCCTTAGTTGGCTTGGGTTGAAATTAATGTTACACTTTGGTTTATAACTTCAGCAGTTTTCTTGGTTTGCACCCTTAAAATTCACAAAGGTCAGCTTCATCTGCAGGTTGGAATTTCATCTCATGAACGCAGTACCTCCGTGCTGCCCACATTTTGCGTTTCGTCCTTATGAGCTACTACAATTGAATATCTTCAGTCCTGTGGAAATTCTGCTCTGTTTTAAGACTTGTTTAAGTAAAGGTATCTATGATCTTGCCTCTTCAGACCTTGAGAAAGTGAGATGTAACTTGCTGCCAGAAGAATTCCTCATTTTTCAAAAGTCACGTGAATAGGAGTTCTCTGGGAGGTCCTGCCTCTCCCTACCCATGGCCAGCCCCTGGACGCTCATGGCCTGTAGCTCCTTTTATCTTTCAGGCCACTGGTGATGGGATACCTCATCGCTGCTCTGGTGTCCCTTCCCTGATTGACCAAGTCCTTCAAAGCTTAATATGTTTTCTTTTTTCTTGTAAGGTTGGAGAAGTGGTCATTCATACTAATATTCATAGATAAATAATATATCAGCATAAAAGATACTGAGCTGTAGGAGGAGGGATTACAGAAAGAATGAGGGTTACCCAAATTCTTTGGCCAAACAGTGCAGGGTTAGCGGCATCCTGACAAGTGTCCACATTGTTCAAGCGCCATGAATCTAGAAATGGGCAGCTTCTCTCTTGGCCGGGATCCCTCATGGTCTGGGTCCCCGCCACGCAGGAAGGACCCTGTGGTCCAGACAGTGCTCCCTCTTGTGGTGGACTCTCAGCAGTCTCCTGTAGCTCAAGCACACAGGGGTTTCAGTTCTTTTATTAACCAATAAAGAAATCTAGGAGAATTATATGTTCAGGGTCAAACTTAATTTCCAAAATCTGAATTTTATTGTAATAAGAAAAAAATTACCTAGTGATCTTTTCCTGAAACATACAACCACATGAAAGACATAATATTAACTTTTCCTCTGATTGACATAGTCTGGTAATACTGGCACCTGTAATTGTAAGAAGAATAGAAACCTGGGACCCCTTGAATCCCCCTGTTTGTGGCTAGGTGCTCTCTCCTTCCATCTTGGCCTGTTGAATGTCCACCTTTCCTTTGCCCCTTCCCCATCCCGTCTCAAAATTGGTAAAGATCTCTCTGGGAAAATTTTTTCTCATTTCTTATGTACTTATATGTTGGTTTAATCTCTGTTCTAGACTGTCAGGTGCATGGAGGTAGGGATTGTGTGTTAGCCATCCATCTTGTGTCCTGCAGGGCCTAGCCCAGAGCTCCACACAAGAAGCCCTTGTGAAGCACCTGCTGCATGTGGGGCATTGTGTGAGCCGTTGGGGATGCAGATAGAGAAAAACAATGCCTGCCCCTCCAGGACCTCACAGACTACCACAGCCACAAAGAAGTAGATACAAACAATATACAAAGCAAATTTCTGGAAGTGGATGGGCGGGCGAGGATTTTCCTGAATGAGACGTCTGGCTCTCACACCAAGCTGTGAAGGGAGCTTCAGATTCTCTGAGATGGAAGTGAATTCCAGGCATGGGCAACAACTAATAAATATTTGGATTTAATTGCTATGCTGAATTTGGGAAGTATTAATAAAAGATTAAATCTGCTGTATAGGATAATCAAGCCTCTGCTTTATATTCCTTTACTGGCACAGAGGGCCAGGTCTGGGAGTCAGGAAGAACAGATTTTTATCCTGCCTTTTGACACAAAACAGTTGTGTGACTATCGGCAGGTCACCTAACCTGTCATGGTCATAGGCAAATCTAAGCTTCTTTGCATACCAGGCACAGGAAATCACAGGTCCAGACCAAAGAAAGAAAAACAGAATTTATTTAACCCACATTCTGTCATCTGTTAAGTGCTGAGGAAATGCTTGTTGATTGACTGGTTGTCAATATAGTGAGATAACATTCTAACATAGAGGGAAAGAGTAACATCCATGCTGATGTCTGAAGTTTTTCTCTAAATCAAAAAAAAGCTGCCATGTCTTGTCAGTAGATTTGTGTCTGACCTCTTCATTTTGTCTTTGTCTGACGGTCCTTTTGACGCTGTGGGTGACTAGATGAGGGAGGTCATACGAGAATCATGATTTTATGTCTTTGCGTCATCTCTGTGAATTTTCTGGAATATAATTAACCCTTTCTTCTCAAAATGAGAACAGCAAAAAGCCTCATGCTGGTTATGAAGAAACTTGAGCCCCCCATCGGTAGCTGCCCTTGGACATTCCTTGCTGGATGTCGCAAGGATGCCTTCTGCTTGCATGTCACAAGGAGACCGTGTCATCTCTCTCCCACCCTTTTAAGCTCCTTCCTGCCTTCTCTTGTCCTGCCAAAGCACTGTCACTCTTCTAGCTCGTAGGTCCGTGCCTTTGTGGCCTCCTCGACTACTCACGACCTTGCCGTTTCTGTCTCTGTAACAGCTCTCATCCTAGCCTCTCCTCTTAGTGCACATAGCTGCTACTTTAATTCATTCCCCCATGTCCTTTTGTTGATAGGTCATAGCAACACCCTCGTAATTTGTCTCCCCATTCCATCCTGTCATCCCCATGACAGCCCACATGGTCTTCTTATGCAGAAATCTGACTGTGTGCCTCCCTGCCATTCTCTGTAAACTCCATGGAGGAACGTAGATGCTGATGTTTCGCTTTGAAAGCCCTTCCTACCTGCTTTTCCAACTTTCTCGTCCTCTCTGACTCCCTTTAATCTGGCCTGCCCTCTGTTCTCCACACGCGACTCAGACCATCTCTGTGCTCTGTAGGGGCTGTCCCTCCATTCCTAGAATGTCCTCCCTCCTTAACCAAGCCTCTGTGTCCTATGACTCCTCTTCATCTTCAAGACCCAGCTCAGATGCTACCTTGTGGGGGATGCCACCACCTGCCAGGCCTGTTCTTTCTTGCATTTGTTTGTTTTCTGTCTGTTGTGTGTGTATATCAGGGCGTGTTTTTCTGTCCTCCTTAGGTTGTTTCATCCTTTGTTATGCTTATCGCTCAGGGCATTTTCTGTTGTAATTCCAGGTGTTTCTGTCCTGTGTTCCTGCACAGCCAGATGCTTTGGGAGCTGGTATTATTAGGAGAACCCCTTGTTGTCATGGCTCCGTCCCCATCTGAATCTTCAGAAACTGTGTTGGCCCTTGTTAGGTTAGTATCTTCTTTTTATTTTTCTCCGTGTCTTGAAAACTAATGCTTTAAAGCACGTAATATATTCATTTGTCTCTGTGTATAACTGTTGAGCAGTTACTTTAGTCAGCTGTGAATTTTGTTTTATGAGCTTTCTTTCTTGTCCACAGCTGTATTTCACCACTCAAGTACTACAGTGATTTCAGACCCTACTTTACCATACACGACAGTGAATTCAAGGAGTACACTACGCGGACACAAGCACCGTGAGTGAATGGCGCTATCGTTGTTAAAAGGGTTCAGGTTTTACCTTGGGAACCAGAATCTAAAGATTTTGTTTAAATTTTGAGTCTGTATGTATCTTTTGAAAAGGCAGAACTTAAAGAAAATTCATTATCTTTGTAGTGATTTACAAAGACCAATGAATTTTGAAAAACTACGAAATAAGGAATAAAATCTTACATTAATTTTTTGGCATTTAACAAAGTAGAACTCAACTTATTAACAAATAGAATCTATGTTGACTTTAGATGTCTGGCAGAATTCCTCCAGAGTTCTCTCCTGCTGGGGGCTTCTTTTCCTCAGAGTTGTTGGGTCCACTGATTTGTTTCACAACACTGAATACCCAGATCTTTTACACTTACATTTTTCTGTTGATCTCCCCCCCCACCCCCCATAGTGTAGCCCCTTTCTTTTCTTTTTTCTTTTGTTATTGTCTAAAATTAAAAAAAATATTTTAAATAATATTTTTCCCCAATTACATGTAAAAATGATTTTTTAACATTTTTTTTAAAGTTTTGAGTTCTAAATTCTATCCCTTCCTCTCCTCCCTCCTCTGTGAGATGGTAAGCAGTCTAATACAGGTTATACATATGCAGCCATGTGAAACATTTCCATAGCAGTCATTTTATGCAAGAAAACCTGAACAAAAAAAATATAAAGTGAAAAACCATACGCTTCGGTCTGTATTTCGATACATCAATTCTTTCTCTGGAGGCAGGTAGCATTTTTCATCACAAGTCCTTTGGGATTGTCTTGGATTATTGTATTGCTGAAAATAGCCTAGTCATTCACTGTTCTTCATCGTACCATGTTACTGTGTAGAACATTCTCCTGGTTCTGCTTACTTCACTTAGCGTCAGTTCATATAAATCTTTCTAGTTTTTTCTGAAATCATCCTGCTTGTCATTTCTTATAGCACAATAGTATTCCATCACAATCATGTACCACACCTTGCCTCAGCCATTCCCCAGTTGATGGGCATCCCCTCAATTTTCAATTCTTGGCCACCACAAAAAGAACTGCTATCAATGTTTTTCTACAAATAGGTTCTTTTGATCGTTTTTGTAGTACTGTAACATCCCATTGTTTTACTCACTATCCTTTACTCACCTGTTTGCTAGTGTGGGACACAGCCATGATTTCTAGTTTTTTCTTATTGTACATGAAGGAGACTTTCCTTCTCTCCAGGCAGTGGGCAAGGAAGGGGGTGGGGTCTGGATGTGGAGTGTGGTGTAATGTCCGCAGAGTCAGTGTGTTGGCTAGGATTAGTGAACTTTTTGTTTCTTTTTCTTTGAAAATCTTTCTTATGGGGCAGCTGGATGGTACAGTGGATAGAGCACTGGCCCTGGAGTCAGGAGGGCCTGAGTTCAAATCCAACCTCAGACACTTGACACTTACTAGCTGTATGACCCTGGGCAAGTCACTTACCCCCACTACCTAGCAAAAAACAAATGAACAAAAAAAAAGAAAATATTTCTTATGATGAATGACTTGTGGGGGCAGAGAGGATAGTCTGTTTAGAAAAGAGTGTTATATAAGACAGCAAGCAGCAGTAAAAATAAAGTTATATATGAATAAAGCACAACATTTTTGTAAAGATAAACCTTTTTTTGCTTTTTATGATATCTTTAGGATAAAATTCTAGCAATAGAATGCCCGAGTTCAAAAGCTATTAATTTTGTGGTGTGTCACTCAAACAGAGTGTATATGAAGAGGGGCTTTCTCCCTGTAAACCTTCTAACCTTGAATTTCATTACTTTGTAGATATTTTTCTGCCTTTGGTGGGTGTAAGGTAATGTCCTGAGGTTGTACTTAGTGGCTTTTCTATTTTATTTTATTTTATTTTTTGCTTTTTTGTGAGGCAATTGGGGTTAAGTGACTTGCCCAGGGTCACACAGCTAGTAAGTGGTAAGTGTCTGAGGTGGTATTTGAACTCAGGTCTTCCTGACTCCAAGGCCAGAGCTCTAGTCAGTGCACCACCTAGCTTCCCCTCTTTAGTTGCAGTTCTGTTAGAGAGTTTGAGCATCTTTTCATGGGGTTATTCACAAACAATTTGTGTTTCTTTCTTTGAAAACCATCTATTCACCTTCTTTGATGAACGTGTCATTGGAGTCTGTGTATCTTACAGTTGTAGAACATCTTTTTCATTTATATCTGATATGTTCTTTGCAAATATTTTTCCCAATCTGTTTTCATTCACTTTTGCAAAATATATCTTTGTTTTGCAAATTCTTTTACTTTTGTACTGTCAGATCCATATTGCAGTTTCTTCCATTTGTTTTGTCAAAATGATGTTGATCTTTAAAGTTGAGGCATATTTATTATTCCTTTTGTCTTTAAATACGTAGATCTTTGATTCAGTGAGAATTTATTGTGGTGCATGTTGTAAGTTATCCTTCAACACCCATTTTTCACTGTGTTGCTCTTCAATTTTGATAGCTGTTTTTATTGAATGGTAGTTCCTTTCCTGAAATTTTTCACCTCTGGTTTTGTTAACCACTAACCTCATACACACTGACTTGTATTTCTGGATTCTCCACTTTATTCTACTAGTCTCTTTTTCTGCTCTTAGAGAATTAGGCACTTTTTATAACGATGGCTTAAGTGGCATGTTCTGAGATCATACTGGGCAAATGTCCTCCTTCTGGTTTTCGTTTTCAGACACTTCTTGATATTCTTGCAATCTACTTTTCCGTATCAAATTGGTTATGATGACATGATTCCATGGGATTGGCCCTTTTGCTGATATTGTGTTAAATCTAAATTAGCTTAGAAAACATCTTTGTAATCATAATTCTTTAACCTAATCATGAGTGGAGTTAATAATCACGAGCATTTATTTAATTCTTTCTTCATTTATGTGAAAATCATTTTGAAATTGCCTTTGTACAGTTCTCCTGTAGTTTATAAGCCACTATCTCATTGATGCCTCTGACGATTTTTTAAGTTTATCTCTCATTCCTGATGGCTGCATATTACAGTGCAAATGTTTTAGGTCTTGTATTTGGCTACTTTACTGAAGTGTTTTTTAATGGCTGATTATCATAGATTTCCAAGATCTAGAATCATGGCACTGCACACAGAAACATCTTAACTTGTCATCACCAAGGCTTGTTCCTTTCAAAGGATTGTAGATCTTGAGCCAAGGGGCCTTTGGGGGTGATCTAGTCCAGTCTGCTCATCTTACTTAGTTTTTATGAGAAAAGTAACAGACACCACGTAACAGACATGTTAGGGTACAAAGAACAGAAGAGAGGGCTGCATATTGCACTGATCTCCTGTCACTTTAAAAATGCATGTTAAATTTAACACAGTAATACAAAACTGCCCTTCCTGTTTGGGAGTCTTCTGAACTTCCTTCTTGTCTGCGTTTTCAAATGTTCCCTTTGCTCTTTTTCTCCTCTTCGTGGATCACGATCATTACCCACTCAAAGGGCTCATTCAAGAGAAGCCATCCTTTGTATCTACAATGAAAATGTCTTTCTCCTTCTGCACATTTCACCCCCACTTCTGTGCCAAGAGGTGGGAGGCCTGTGACATGGTTGGCCTTCCCTGTGTATTGGCCTGAGTTCTGAGGTCCTTTTCCTTTTTGTTGTTGGGGCCATTGTGTGAATTGTCCCTGGTTCTGCTCACTTCACTGCGCCTTTATATGTACAAGTCTTTGCTGGTTTCTCCAAAGCTGTCGTATTTGGCTACACTTCTTTACTGTAATTGGTTCAGCCATTCTCCACGTGCTCTGTACCCACTACGTTTCCAGTGCTTTGCTACAAAAAAAAGTTATAAATATTTTTTTTAAGCGCCTGAGTCTTTTTCCACTGCTTTTCACTTGTTTGGGGAAATGTGTATAATAAGATCACTTTGCCTCATTTTTTTCAGATGAGGAAACTGAGGCTCCTGGAGGTCAAATGACCTTGCCCAAGGCCATGCAGGTAGCTTTAATGACAAGATTTGGACCCAGGTCCTCGGGCTCCAGAGGCAATTCTCTTTCCACAGCATCAGCCTGCCTCCTTCTATTGCGTATTTCAAATAGGACTAGTAATGGCAGACGTCCCTGTTTTATTAGCTATGACTCTTAGGTGTGTGATCCTGGGCAAACCACTTAACTGTTCTCAGCCTCTGTTTTCTCATCTTTAAAATGGGAATAAGAATAGCAGCACCTAACTTCTGGGGCTGTTGTGAGGACTGAATGAGATAACATATGTAAAGTGCTTTGTATTCCTTAAAAGTATTATCTAAGTGCTAGCTCCTATAATTGTTGTTGTTAGTATTTCTGTATCGTATATAATATTAACTCATGGCTTTAAGTATTTTTATAATATTAATGAAAGACCCTTCTATTGCTTAAAATTTTTTTTTTTAACATTAAAGCTCTGCTTTGATATCTCCTTTTGACATGGACGTGACTGGATTTTTGGAAACTCTGTTACCTTACTGTAAGTCTTGGCAAGTTCTACCATATTGGAAAGGCCTATCCTTGTGACTTGCTCTGATAACCTTCCTAGCTATAAATGGAGAAGTTAATTTCCAGTAGGCACAGCCTTGTGATCAAGTCGCGAAGGCAGAGTAGTGGGAAAAGTGGCAGAGAATGCTAAAAACCACAGAATTTTAGAGCATCTACAAATCGTGATATAATCAGGGAGATGTTAAATGTGAAATTCTTGCCCGAGTCGAAGATGTGGATCACAACAGTATGGACATTCTTCTGTAGAGTAAATGAGAGGATGAATGGAAGTTGCCACTAAATGGAAGAACGTTTCCCAACTCATGCTTAGAAAGTAAATAAAAAAGAAGCAGTGCAATGCTTTTCATTTGTGTCCTGGCACAACAAAAGACAGTATTTCATGGGACCTTTGTTAATTTTGCCTTACAGTGCTCGTGATGAGCATGAGCAAAAAAACTATCATGAAGAGGATTGTAGCTTGTGCACCAACATCTGTAGCAGAAGATGAGGTGATTGAGAAATTCTACAAAAGAACTGGCTAGGATTCTCCAAATTAAACCAACATAAACTCCATTCAGACACTTAAGAGACTTCACTGTAAAGGTGGATATAGGAGAGTGTGGTTAAAAATACATTGAAAACAAGAGACAGGAGAGACCAAAGGCTCATAAGCAATAACCTCGTACCTGTGTATCTGAGCACCTTCTTCAAGAAGAGAGTGGGGCGTCAGGTGAATGCTGAACATTTTTTAAAAAATGAAAATGGCTTTTTCTACCGAGGAAATAACTATGTACCAACATATGTGTTGAACAAGAAGCTGTTTTCATTTAGGTAGTCAATTTGTAGAGGAAAAATCAAGCCAAATTAGAAGAGAACAAGATGGGAAGATAGTATGCATCTAAAACAGCTTTTCGTGTTCTAGTTGCTGAAAATGGGAAAAGGATAAAGCAGCTGACGTTAAGGAACATTACCATTTCTTAGGATCATTGATCGAGCTCTGGGAGAGACTTTAGAGATTGAGTCTCAAATTGTCATGTTATAGATGAAGAACAGAGAGGTTAGGGGACTTGCCCAGGGTCACATAGCTCCCAAGTATCGGAGGTGGGATTCTAACCCAGGTATTGCTAACCCTGAGCCCAGGACTCCATGTTCTACCCCATACTGCTCTTCCTTTGGAAGTTTAACTGATGTGAAGCAATTACCCCATAAAGTGTCAGAAGGGTCTAGAAACTGCCTTAGCAATAGTAAAACTAATAAAAGTCTCAGAGAAGAGATCATGAAACATACCCTTTCTTCATGGCAGTGAGATGGGAGGATTTCTAGGACAGAACTTTGTGTATAGTGAGTGTCAAACAAGATTTCTGTAATGGGTGCTTTTGCTCAATTGTTTTTCTTTGTCACAAGGTTGGGGGCAGGGGAGCAGGACAGGTATAATTGACATAAGACAAAAGACATCAATAAAAAGCATTGTTTGTTTGTTTTTTTAAAGAAACTACTTTGGCCAGAAATCACTTGTTCTTGCTAAGTTGAGACACATGTCAGCCAACCATATATTTTTTGCAAAACTGTACAGAAAAATGGTGCAAAGTTGGGATGAGTATTACCTTACAGAAAAGTAGCAATGCAGTGCAAATGAGCTTACAAAAAACCTTGGTGTGAGGCCTAATTAATCCATATCATCTCTTTATCTTCTTAAATGATAGGATATCAAATCAGCTGTTTTCAAGATGTAATTAAAAGAAAAACAGGTGAAAAGTGATGAAGACCTGTACTTTCTATAAGTAGCTATTTTCTTTGTTAACAATTGAATTGTCACATTTGAACCCTAGTATTAAAATTCCTGTGCTCTACACGAGGAAGTGGAAATGTTCCAAAAGAAAATGGAGGTAGGAGGAGCAGCTGAAACATACCAGATGGGCACAAGGAGGTCCATGCTGGAGATGACACACTTTCGATGTCATTGAGGAATTGATTCTTATTGTATCTGAAAGAGGAGAGCATCATAAATGCATGAAAATAAAATAATAGATGCTGTTAAGACCAAAAAGAGTGATGGAGAGTCCACGAATAGCTATCAACCCACAAAATCTTCAGAAGAATGAGCCACTCATGCATTGAGTGAGGTGAATGGATGTGAAAGGGACATTCCAACTTTGACAAGCTCTATATTTTTAGAGTTGTCTGGTTGAGTGAAAGATGCAGAGAAGGCAGGTTCTCAATTCCTTTATTGTTTGGCTGTTTAAAAAAAAGGATTTTTGATTAGACCAAATAAAATGTAGCTATATAGACTATTGTCTGGCAGTGTTAGGATCATATGTGATTCCTTGATAAGTGCAACAGCAGAGACTGCTTTGAGTTGTCCTCTGATTATCAACCCCGGGCAAGTCATAAAGCAGAGGAATAAGTGTTCACCAAAATTGTTTGCCACTGGCATGGAGAATGTGCAGGGCAGAGTCAGGATGAGAAAATGATTCCTCCAAGATGGTGACACCCTCTGGATGCCCCTGTTTGTGGGTGATGTTGCTCTGAGAGCTTCTAAATGAAATTTGTAACCATTTGATGCCACCTAAAAGTTCACACAAGGAAATCAAGTGAATGAAACTGCTGTCCAGACTTAGATGGGCCCCTATGTGGACACAGCACTTGAAGCGGGTTCATGAGTGCATTTTGCCTCGGCATACATTGCAGAGAGACTCTCAGCTGGGTTCACAAGGACAGAGTGGGTTGGGTTGCATTTAGGTAATTCCGCAATGCTTTTAATGACTCCAAACTTTTCTCTAAAACAAATATTCATCTTGTTTGTCTTGGCATTCAAGTATGGAGAATAAAATAATGAATACTCTTTTGAGCATTTTGAATTGGAGATGCCTACAGGAAATCAAGTTCAAAATGTCCAATAGGCAGGTAGTGGTAGGAGACCAGAACTCAGAGATATATTAGGCCAGGATATGTATGAATTTGGGCGTTGTCTACATAGACATGATGATTAAACCTGTGCTGGTGAGGTTGCCAACTGAGAGAGTGTAGACAGAGAAGACAGATCCTGAATGGCGTTTTGGGGTCCACTTCAGCCAAAGCATGTGATATTGGTGGTGGTCCAGTAAAGCAGAAGCAGGGGAAATGGTCAGACAGGTAGGAGGACAAAAAGCAGCATCTTGACAACTTAGAGAAGAAAGTATCCAGGAGTAGGGAAAGATGGTGCAGACACTACCTGCAGTAGTGTTAGATGCTGCAGAAAAGTCGAGAAGGATCAAAACTGAAAAAGGCCTTTGGATTTTGGGGAAAAAAACCTAATTAAAATAGTTTATTGTTGAAGTTAGTAAACATTAATAGACATTAGCATTTCATTATACAAAGAAAAATTTTAAAAGGAGATGGTATATGAAACTGCGAACTTTGTGTGGTGTTTTTTCCTACTCTTCACTTCTTGTGCAATTTAAATTTCCCATGGTCATTTCAGCTGTGTCCAACTGTGTCCTCCATCTGTGTCCCCTTTGGACTTCCTTCTGCTCTCTTCTGTTTATTTTTCTGTCATACATTGACAGTCTTTTCTTTCCCTTCTCTTTTGTACTGTCTTTAATAAGTTATTTTTTTTCTTATTGATATGATTTTTCTATTGATTGTGTTCTTGTTATCCAATAACTCTCATGTTCCATTTATTAATCTTACTTGCTTGTGATGATTTTTTGGCTGTGCTGCTATATTCTGTTTGAATATTTTATTGAATGCTTTTCCCTTGGTATCCATGAATAATATCAGGTTATAGTTTTCTTTTTCAGCCTTTTCTTTTTCTTTTAGAGGTCCAAATGACATCCATTCCATAGAGACAAGGAGCTTTTCACATTTCTCAATACTTAGAAGTCTCTGCAGATAGGATTTGCTTGCTCTGTAAAATTTTGCTGATGTTCTTCTGTGAAATCATCAGTGTATTTTTCCAGAGTAACTGTTTAATTGCTAGACTGATTTTTTTCCTTTTAAGATTGCTCTATTAGGTTATCTCCTTTTTGTTCTTGTTAATTTTAATATTTTATGCTTCTGTAGATAATCATTTCTTTAATTTGGATTCTTGGATTTTTATTAGTAAAGAGCCGTGTATAGTAACTTCTGAGAATTTTCTTTCTTTATTTTGCCCTTACTGTAATCTGCCCTTCCACCCCCCCCCCCCCCCCACCCCCAATGTTAGTGATTTGGATTTGCTTTTAGTTTGTGATTAGACTCGCTAACTTTTTTGTATTAAAAGAAAACAAAACAAATTAGCTATTTGGATTTACATTAGCATTTCCTTATTTTCATTCATATTAACTTCTCTTCTGATTATGCCTGCTTTCCATTGCTGTTGGTTTATTTCTTTGTTTCTTTTTTTAAGGTTTAGGAGCAGAGTCAATTTTTTCTTGATATTTGTACTTCTTAATACTGCTTTGGTTGCATCCTGTAGATTCTGATTTACAAAAAATATGTATTTCTTATATAATCTTATTTTTATAATTTATTTTCACTTATTCATTTGTTGAGTTTTACTTAGCTAATTATTATTTACTGCAGATTTTATCGTTTCATTATTTAGTCTTATCTGGTATGACTGAGGGGTGGCAGTACTTTAATTCTCCCCAGTTGACTCTTTTCCAAAGCTTTCCCTTTCCCTCCAGGCACCCATATGCCTCCCCACCCACTCATTCTCAGTAGAGAAATTCTCTTCCTAATTTACTCAGAAGATAGAGGATGTCTTCTTGGAGCCGCATCATCTTTCCTGTTCCATCTTTCAGAGGGGAGCCTTTTGCTTGCTCCCATGTTCTCTCCTTGTCTCCTCCACCTTTGCCAAGGCCGGCCCCTCCTCCACTTTGTCCATGTTTCCTCATGTTTTTGAGGGGGATGTGTAGAGTTTGGACTTTGGCTTTGGTTCATGTGGTTCCATCCACCATCTTGGCTGGAAGATGAAATTTTTGCTAGATGCTCTTCATTTCCAGTTATCCAAATGTAGTTACTTTGTATCTTGAGAGTCATTAGTAATAGGAGGAAAAAGATTTATTGAGGGAAAGGATCTTCTCCTTATCATCAGAATAAAGGAATTTCAATAGTTTCTTTGTTTTCTTTTCTATAGATTAGGTTTAACTTTGTTGTACCTATTGAACATGCTTGGGTGTTTTTTTTTTGTCTTTTTTAAAAATCTAGGCCCTCAGTTATTTTAGGAGTGACCAACCCTTTTTTTGCTAAAACACTCCAGCACTGGCCGCACATCATTCGAATAGGAGATATTAAACTGGCAGGTAAAGTATGCTCTTTATGTTCACTTTTTCTGAGTTCCTTTCCACCCTTCTGCGTTCAGACTTTAGTCAAATTGAGTCAAATTTTGTTTAATTGATACTCCTATCATGTAATTGGATAGGGAACTGGTGGAAAGGAATATTTGTTGGCATAACGTATGTATGTATGTGTGGGATTCTTTATTTCCACTGATACTAATTGTATTAATAGTGTACAGAAACCGCGTGATGACTAGGAATAGAATGAAATGTTAGGACCTTAGATCTATTTTTATATATGAATCAACAAGAATTTCTTAAGTGCCTATTATGTGCTAAGTACCGATCTAGGCACTGGCATATAAAGACAGAAATAGAAGTCTGACCCAAAGGAGCTTACATTTTGAAAGGGCCCCATAACATGCCCCTCTCTAGGTAAGCAGTAAACATGGAGTAATTTCTGGGATGGTGGCATAGGCAGCTCAGGGAGACGACACTTGAGCTAAACTTTAGGGGACCAGGGATTCGAAGGAGGTGGAAGTGGAGGTGAGAGAGGAAAGGAATGCATTTCAGGCATGGCAGGACAGGCTGGCGAGGCACAGAGACAGAAGAATGGAATGAAGGGTATCATTGTGCCTCGAAGGTAGCATTCTCAAAGACGATTGGAGAGTTATAAGCCTAGAAAAGTATTGTGAAAGACTTTGAATACCAAACTGAGAATTGTCCATTTTTTCATAGAAGCACTATGAAAAAGCTCTGGGAGTTTTTTGAGTCAGGGAGTGACGTGGTCATTAGGAATGTCACTTTGGCTGCCGTTTGGAGGTTGAGTTAGAGGTAGAAGGGAAGTTGAATCAGGGTACCCAATTAGGAGGCTTTTGCACTTGGTAAGAGGTGAGAGGTAAGAGGTCAGAAGAGCCTGATCTCTTAGGGTAGAGAAAGGGACAGTGGGAGAGGGTGCAGTAGAGGCAGCATTGAGAACATGCTTTATACTTTAGCACAGAGTGCCCTCATTGATGTAACATCTTCATTTCAGTCATCACAACGTGCAAAATTCTGCAAGAGTTCTCAGAGTAAAATGAATCTTAGTTGTAAAAAAATATATTATTAAGTTGTAAGGATCAAGAAGAATCATCACTACTTTATGAGCTGCTTTGGGGCATGGACTTTAGAGCAGTCTTCTTAGATTGTGCATGAGGCATTTGTGCATCTTAGGCAAGGCTTGACAGCTGTGCCTGTTGTAAGTGCCTTCCAGCACGATGGAGGCCTTACAGAGCACCATGTAACGTTATATCACAAAATAAACACAAAATTCCATAGGTAAAGTAGCATTTTCTCATGTTCAAAATATCTTCATTTAAAAAAATATGTTACAAGGAGTTGCACCATAACCCTTACCCACCTGCCTTGCTGACCCCTGGGCCTGATTCGGATCTTCATGTTCCTCACCAAGACTAGCAGTAGTGCCCTTGGGCTGTAGACCATCAAACAGCCCTCCCTGGCCATCACTCCCCATTGTGGTTTGTCTCCTGCTATTCAGATGTGAGCTTTTTGAGGGCAAGGACTGTCTTGTGTCTGTATTTATATGGCTGCTGGTTAGTGTAGTGCTGCGCGTATTGTAAGTACTCGTTAATATCTCTCATTCATTCATTCAGAACATTACCTGAATAAATTGTAAGTGGGATATTTGTCATTTCATCACTCTCCAGTGGTTTTGGATGTTTTCTTAATAGGTAGACACTAAAAGAATGACCCTGTATGATGTCCCTCATTGACAGATTTTGATTTCTGTTTCACATTGTAGGGGACAAACTCATTTTCTCCCTTTGGATCTTTGTTATTTAATGTGGGATGTTACACCTAAAAAAGTTTCTTAATTTTGTAAGATGTTTTAAGGCACTCAGAAACCAGTCTAGCTAGAAATATCACAAGATAATTTGTACCAAGTACTTTTGTTCACTTAATATAAACTGATTATACTTTTATCTTTCACTGAAATCCCTGGTTGCTTAAATATCCTTATTTTCCATATGTAGAAAGGTAATCTTGTTTCTCTTGAAGATAGTTTAAAAGTTCCAGCCTGTTTGCTTTGACCAGATTTAGAAAGACCATTCTTTTTTTTTTTGTGCTTGCTCCCGTGCTTTTAATTTTTTTAAAAATTAATTTATTTTTAGTTTTCAACAATCACTTCCATACGCTTTTGAGTTTCAAATTTTTCTTCCTCTCCCTTCTTCCCTGCCTCCCCAAGACAGTGTTCAATCTGGTATAGGCTCTAGGTATACATTCCTGTTAAACATCTTTTTTTTTCTAAAATTTCTAAAATTTATTTATTTATTTTTGGTTGGGCAGTTGGGGTTAAGTGACTTGCCCAGGGTCACACAGCCAGTAAGTGTCAAGTGTTTGGTCTGAGGCCGGATTTGAACTCAGGTCCTCCTGATTTCAGGGCTGGTGCTCTATCCACTGTGCCACCTAGCTGCCCATTAAACATATTTTCACATTAAAGACCACCCGTCTTAAAGAATGAGGTCCTTTAGAGTCTAAAAGAATTCTAAAAGAATGAGGTCCTATAGAGTCTTTAGACCCCATATGGGCTCAGGACCTCAGTTGAAGAAATGCTGAAGGGTTCGTGAGTGGAGAAAGTTAAAGAAGCTCGGCTTTAGATTGAGGTGTCAAATATACCAGAGAGAATGTTTTTTGGTCCAGAACTGTTATTTCCTAGGTTTAAGGAAGTTCCCTCTTCCAATGCAGATGGGCAGGCTGTAAGAAAACAAGTCTGTCTCTTCACCCCTCCTCCACCCACAGTCCCATACTGATACTTGATTTCAGCAGATTTGTCCTACTAATCAAAACGCTTTAGGTGATTGTAATATAGTCTTCTATTGTTAATTTTCTTTTTTTTTCAGTGGAAAAAGCCTCTCTCCATGATTTCTGTACACAGATTAATAGAGCTTTATCATGAAGTCATTAGCAGGGTAAGAACTTTTATATAAGTTATGTCTGCACTAGAAAAAATAAGGATCCAGATAAGAAATTTAGCCCTTTTCTGAAAGAGAGCCTTTTTCTTATGAAAAAATGTTATTCATTTATCTTGTTTGAACACAACAGACACTCACCAGTGGATAGTCCAGTAAGTCAGCTGCCCTTACAAAGTATGTTTCCTGATAGCAGTTAATTTATTGGTTGGCTGTTTGCTTCCTTTGCTAGTGTGGTATTAATGGGACTGTTGTGTGGCAGCAGAGACTTGCTGATTCGTAGGTGATTGCTTGTTAGAAGGCATCCTTTAGTGTTTCCCGGTCCATGGATTCTCTTTATCCCTTTAGGGTTCTGTTTTTCACACAGTGACAACACTAAGGTAGAGGTTACATTTATGATTTGGACCTTACTTGAGATTGAACTTTGAAAGGAAAAGGCTTGGATACTACCAGCATCTTCAGTGTTGGAGCTTCTGCTGTAGAGTGGAGAGAGGTGTGATCTTGGTGTCAGGGAGGCCTGGGTTCAAGGCCCATCTCGGACATACACTGTCACCTGACCTCTGTGTGCGCCAGGCCACTGCTGCTTTGCTTAGTGGACTTTGGCACAGAGTGGGAACCAGAGGCTTGGACGAACAGTGTAGACTGTTGGGCCATGTTGCCCGTCCTCCTTTGGTTTTCTGCTGGTGTTTGGTGAGATAGTTCCTTGTAAAGGTTAACCGAATAGCTTGTCTGCGATTTTGACATCATATTTCTAAAGGAGAGGTAGTGTATGAAGGAGAGCTTTTACTTTTTATTCCTACACTGGGTTGAATTTCTAGGCAATAGCTGCAGACCCAGTTCACTGCTCCATGGTAGGAGCTATTCCAGGATTGACTGGTGCCTTAGAAAAAAACAGATTTAACAGCAACAAAAATCCTCTTTCTCTTCTCTTTTGAATCATCTTTTTTGCTACTTAGAATCTTTAAATTTTAGAGCAAGAAAGGACTTTGGTGACACTGCCGTTCAAGCCCCCTTTTTAACAGGTGATTATTTTATTAGTGTAGTCAGTCCCTTTGGGCCAACTGTGTTAGCTGAAGAACGACCACTCCTTTTGTTTCCTGGCTGAGTTTGCCTAGTGTGGACCTTGTGGGCCCCTTAAAGACAAATTGGTTGACTTGAGAGGGCCATCTCAAGCTGACAGTCCTGTCATCCCAGCCTAGGGAAAGGATGGAAAGGGTTGGAGAGAGGAAGCGAAGTGAGAGGCAGGGTTACGGGAAGGGGATTATTGCCCTCCAAGCTAGCAGTAAAGTGCTTGATTGAATTTATCAACCTTACCTTGAAAGAAAAAGTTAAATTTAAAAAATATTAGGGAAACACCTCGAGGAATTCTTTTGCTCATTTGGGTTGCTCTGCCTCCCTCATTTTATTTAAAATGAAACGCTGCCCCTCCTTTCTTTGCCTTGCCAAGGAGAATCTGCTAGCTAGTTCTCCATTTAGTGGTAACTTGTTACTTCTTTTCTGTTTAATTTTAAGTGAAAATGTCACTATCACTAGGGTTTAATTTCTCTAGTATTTCCTCCCCTTGTTGGTTGTTGGACAAAGGGATTACAGTTAGCATTTCAGCAGTGAGGTTGATGTCTGGAAACAGCCTCCAAGGGTTATGGTTCTTCATCCCCACTGTCCTTTTTAGTGCCATTTGTCTGCCACTGTACAAGCAGAACTGGGTTGCTTAGGGCTGATGGCCATGTCCTATTTTTACCTATTTATGTTGTAGCTGGCCATGGGATAAGAACGAATTGTGGTGGAATGAATAATTGGGAGGGTAGTGGACTTGGAGTCAGGAAGAATGGGGTTCAAATCTCATTTCTGACAGTTCCTGGCTGGGTGACTCTAGGCATCTCAATTAAACCTCACCTTTTTCACCTGCAGAATGAGAGGGTTGTACTCAGTGGCCTTTGAGGGATTTTCCATGTCTGAATCCCGGATTTTATGAACCTGTGACCTGGGGGCCATCTTGTTTATGCTCATCTGTCCTTGATCAGGTGATTTATGGACAGCAGAGTCTCTGGCTGCTGGAATTTTCTGTAGCGGGAGTTGAAGGATGGGAAGCTGAAGCCTCTGGAGAACCTGCCACACGAAGAACCTTCGTGTGCTTGGAGCCTTTGGGCATTCAGCTTTTGGTCAAAAACTAGTCACTGGTCCGCTGCTGCACAGGCTTATTTTGTGCTCTGTCTTGGAGGGGTTGCGTAGACTGGAGGTATAATTAAACTCCTGACCCCTTCTCTGAAGCTTCTTCAGTTCACCTGCAGCTGAGTACGAAAGAATTCCCTTAACAGTATTCTTGCTCAGGGCTCACTCTGTCTTTACTGGAAGGTCCCTACTGCATGATAACCCAGTCCTCCTGAGGCAGCCATGAGCCTAAGCAGAATGAGTCCAACCCTCTTCTAGGTGACTGACTTTCATCTACTTGAAGATCAACCCGATCTTCTGTTTCTTTCCTGTCTGATGTCCGTTCTTCACCAGGCTAAACAGCTCTGGTTCCATCAGCCGATGCCTGCGTTACATGATCTTGATGCGTTTTACAGTCCTGGTTGGTCTCTCCTGAATGGTCTCTAGCTTGTCACTGTTTTTCTTCAACCTGGTGCCCAGAACTGAACATAGAACTCCAGGTGGGCTCTGACCAAGGCAGCTGACAGGAAGAACTGTCCCTCCTTGGACACTGCCTTTCTTGGGGCAGCCTCAGATTGCATTAACTTTCTTGGCTGCATGTGGCACTGCAGGCTTATATAGTAAGTTTGTGGTCCCCTTAAGCCCTCAGATCTTTTTTCAGACAAGCTACTTTCTAGCCTTGATGTTTCCTTCATCTTGTACTTATGAAGCTGAATTTTTGAACCCAAGTATAAGACTTTATTTTTTCCTATTAAATTTTATCTTAGATTTGGTCTGGTGTTCTAGCTTTTCAAGATCTTTTTGAATTCTGACATATCTAGTGTGTTAGCTCATTCCCCCAGGCTTGGAGTCATCTGCAGTTTGGTAAACATGGAATCTTTGCCTTTATTGAAATCATTGATGAAAACATTAAGCGGCACAGGGCCATGTGCACATCCCTGGTCCTCTCCACTGGATATGTCCAGCCAAACTGATGTCAAACCATTAATGATCATCTTCTAAGTGCCCTAGAGTTTAGCCATAAACCTCTGTCTTTTCTGCTAGAAAATGGGATAATTTTGTCAGATGCTTAGCTGAAATCTATGTTAACTACATCTGTAACATTCCCCTAATCTAAGTCTAGTCCACTTTGGATTCGTGGAAATTTTCTCCACTGATTCAGTCTGTAACTTGTGACATTTAAAAAGTTCAAGAGACATAGTTTCTGGGTAATTAATCGTGTTGTTAACAATGCTAGCATATTATTAATAAAAGGGGTCAGTGACATTTTCAAATGCCAGAGACGCCTCATAGAACCCACTTAATGCTTATATACCTTGGAAGAGTGGGTGTTCCTGAGGGTGGTAAGCAGCTCTGATTGGTTAACAAGTAATGAGAGAGAATGAATATTATAATGAGGTGGCCTCTTCTAATGAGGGGCTGGGGGGACATGGCTTTGACCATGTCATTTACTTCCAAATCACCTCCAGCCTTGAGTAATTTAATCAAAGAATTTATTCCCACCCAAACCTGAGTAGAACACCGTGAGCAGGAATCCACCCAGATAAGGTGGTCTAGGTGGGGTAAATTTTTGGCAGAGGTCAGCGATGTCCTTCAAAGGCTGGGCTTTGAAGAAGGAAATAGGACAGGGAAAAAACCTGGATCTCCTCCATAATTGGTTTTTAGTAATCATTTCTCTCAAACTAATCTGTAATTTACAGTCTAAGAGGGTTGCTGGGTGCTGGGAGTTTAAGGAACTTGCCCTTGTCACATATCTGGTATATGTCCAAGGCAGGATTTGAACCAAGGAGTCTTTCTGGTTCCAAAGTTGGTCCTCCGTCTGCTGTGCTATGTTTATCTCTTAGTCACTGAGTCTAGCAGTTCTGTCTAAAAAGGAGGAGTGACTCTGGCAGGACCTGATCTTGAAGCGATGTTGGCTCTTTGCCTTTCAGAGGCCACTGGGGCTGCCCTGTTGGTACACTGGCAGATAGTTCATCCGGGTTAGGTTACTTGTCCTCATAGAAGGCAGTCCCTCTGCGCCATCTTTGTTGTCTGTTCCAGTCCAAAGGCTTTTCTCCTTGGCAAAGGAAGCCGCCAACGTAGCAGCTGAGGAGCCCTGACTTTCTTTGTCATCGTCCTGCCTCTGCAGAGCAGTGGTCCTGTCTGTCTTGTCTTTGAGGCTCCTCCCCCAGCCTCCCTTCATTCTCAGGGCCAGTGTTCCCATTGTCCTCCTACAGGACTGTGCCGTATGTTGTTTTGGTCCTCCGTGACTTGCCCTTGCTTCCATTGTTGGTATGTTTTGCTGTGTCAGTAGGACCATTGTCCACTTTGGTCACCTAGTGTGGTAGAAGTTCCTACATTGCAGGGACAGCATCTTGAAAGTCAGAAAGACCCACGCATTCAAAGTGATGAAATAGACTCAGTTGTCACAAGGAACTCAAGTCCCTGGAGATGTGGCTCTCACAAGGTACAGTGCGTGGTTTTCAGATAGGATGAAAAACTTTTACCTACATTTCAAAAGCAAGGAAAATTGTTTTTGTAAAGAGAAGATAACGAAGGAACTCTGGATTTCAGTGGAAGATTGTGTATTTGGTATAAATGTTTCCAGGTTTCTCTGTACTATAATTCTGTGATACCTGAAGGCTTAAAAAACAATTCATCATGAGCTTAAGAAAACTGTTTTAGATATAACATCCCTGGCTAAATAATGAAGTTGGATATTCCGCATAGAGATAATTAGTCTCATAAAAGACTGTGTTCTCTTTGTGTTGATTATAATTGATAATGTATGTAATTAGAACAATTTCAAGCCTGTCATGATTTTTACAGGTGAAATTCCCAAACAGGTTAAGGTAAAAAAGCTGAAGAACCTAAAGACTTTGGATTCCAAGCCTGGTAATAACTTTTATTCTTTCAAATATTGTCATGATTTGTGGGAGTGTTTTTTAAAACTTGCTTCCCTTTTTTCTCCCCTCTAGGAGTTTATACTTCTTATAAGCCATTTTTAAATAGGGATGAAGATATCATAAAACAATTACAGAAGGTAATTAAAAATTTTTACTTGACAAAGATTTATTCAACTTCATGTCCAGGTGAAGGGTGGGGGTGGGGAGGAGGGAATAACATCATGAATGTAATATCTCAGTCAAGAAGGTTGTGATCTCATCAGCTCTCCAGTTACTGCCCTGGCTTCTTTCTCCTGGGCTGGTAGAATGTAAGTATGAGCTGTTTATTTCAGTTAAAATTTTTTTTAGTTTTACTGATGGCTTTTATTTTTGATGTTGCAATCATATCGCAGTCCCCACATACACCGAACCCTCCTTTAAACTGGAAGAAGAAAAGGCGTTTAAGCAAAACTCACTGATAAAATGGCCACACCTGGGAGTGTTTGCAGTCCTCCAGTCCCATAGTCCCCCACCTTTCTGCTGAGAGGCTTGAAACATGTTTCATGCTGTCTTCTCAGACCAGACGGGGCACTTCAGTGAAATGAAGCCTTCTTGCCTTTCCAAGCAGTGGCTTCCTGTATATGTATTTGGAGCCACTGTGGACCCTGTTCTCCAGGTTCTACTTCCTTCATTTCCCTTGGTTCACAAGAACCTTGTGTGTGGGCTTGAAACCTTCCAACCTGAGTTATCCATGTAATCGCCCTCATCTGTAAAAGGGGGATAAAGTGGTGCAGTAGATAGAATGCAGGGCCTGGAGCCAGGAAGACCAGAGTTCAAATCCAGTGTCAGACACTAGCTGTGTGACCTTGGGCAAGTCACTCAACCTCTGTTTGCCTTAGTTTTCCCAACTGTAAAATGGGGACAATAACAGCACCTACCGTGAAGGGTGGTTGTGAGGAATAAATGATCCCTTAAGATTGGGAAAGCACTTGGCCTAGTGCCTGGTATGTAGTAGACATCAAGTATATGTTAGCTATGGTTTTTGTTATCAGTAGAGGTCACACCAAACAAGGTGCAGGACCATTGCCTTGTACCCTCAGCACCACTGAGTCTTCCTTAGGTGTCTTGCAGCTGGACCATCCTCTAGGTTTCGGGAGATCCTTGAGGGCAGAGATGCACTCAGTTTACTCTTTGGGTTCCCAGTGCGCGACACATACTCAAGGCTCCTAGTGAGCACTGAAGAAATGCTTCTTCTTTAATTCATTCATCAAAGACAGGAGTGGACAAATTTATTTATTCATTGAGCACTGGAGCCGTGGCACCAAGATAGGAGAGGGTTTTTTTTTTCCGTGTGGATTGAGAATTTGGAGCTGATGTCAGGAGATTTCATAGAGCCAAAGCAATCTAGTTAGTGTGAACCTTGACACTGATTTTTGGATGACTTCACAGGAGGTGTGTGTGTGTGCGGGCGCGTGTGTGTGCATGCATGTGCGTTTGCGTAAACACACATACATAACACACATCTTATAAATGAGTTATATAAATAAATCCTATAAATGTTTTTATATTAGAATTCTGAGTTATTGTAATGAGGAGAAATGGCTGTTTTTCTGTGAATTAGAATCTTCGTCTTTAAGGACACTTTGCTTCTTTAGCAAACAACTGAAGATGATTACAGATTTAGTTTTCTTTTTCAGGGGGTACAGCAGAAGCGTCCTTCTGAGGCCCAGAGTGTAATTCTTCGACGTTATTTCTTGGAATTGACGCAGAGCTTCATCATTCCATTGGTAAATTAACAAATGTAGATTTTGTAGTATGGGTGTGTTGAAGACATACAAGAATTTCTTGGTATATAGGCAATGGGGTATAGAAATCTACCCTGCCCTACAGGAAAAATAGAAGGGGAAGGGGATAAGAGAAGGGGGGGAGGTGATAGAAGGGAGGCAGATTAGGGGAAGGGGTATTCAGAATGCATGCCATCTTGGGGTGGGGGAAGGGGTGAGATGGGGAGAAATTTGGAGCTCAGAATCTTGTGGAAGTGAATGTTGAAAACTAAAATAAATATTTAAATTAAAAAATTTCTAAATATTAAAAAAAAAAGAATTTCTTGGTTAGATCTCTGCTTCTCCTCTCCCCAAACTATTATTCTTAGGTAGAATATAGAATTATCCAATCATTGTAATTTGCCTGACTTGATCTTTGTATCATATTTACTTTAATTCGGCATTTGAATGAGCACCTGCTGTGGGAACTGTAGTGTAAGGATCAGGGCCTTGATTAGTTCTGTGTTTTCCTCTGTCGGGCACACTGGTTTGGGGCAAGGACTCTGCTTCCAGCCCTTTAGTTTTTACTGAAGCAAACTTGGATCTCACAGCATCTCTGATTCTTCCAGCTCCATGTTTTGATATTTCCTCTGCCTCTGTATTGGACCTAACCTTTTTCCTTTCCTGTGCCTTGCCTAATTGGAACTCCGTATAAAACTTAGACTTTGTGAACATTGTATTTATCATGTTGGTTAGGATATAAGCAAAGGGAAAATATATAGGTAGACACTGAAAATTATTTTTATAGAATGGTATCACACCTAATAAAAAAAATTTTTAACCAAATTGGGAGAAATGGTTCCCCCCTGCCCTGAAAAAAATAAATAAGCTTCAGTTTCATAAAGATGTCATCCTAAATTAGTTACCAGTTAGTAATTTAATATTATGATACAAGGTGTCACACTATTAAAGGGAAGCTGTGAAAGCAGGGAGATGGCAGATAGCCAGCAGACTGGGCACTTGGGCTGTTCAAGGCGATGGAGGCTCCCACAGTTGCTGCTCACTTGTCTCCTGCTCTTCGCCCCTTCACTTTTCGGGTGGGAAAAGTCCCTTACTTGCTGGAATCCCTGACCTGTGTCCTTGTCATGCTTCCTTGTCTGCTTGGTGCCATGTCATTGAGCAATTTCTCTGGCTGGGTGGAGAGCCCTGGGTCAGCGCTGTGCAGGAGGGAAGCTGAGTCCCCCAAAGAGGCACCAAGCATAGATTGTCCATTGGCGTTCATAGTGCACATCTTCTCCAGACTTCTCGATGTCCAGCAGCGGGGAGCCTCCATGAGCCTTGCTGTCAGATCTTATCTCTTAGGAGCTTAGGCTGCCAGCCAAGGGGCTTGAAAGCTGAGTAGATCTGTCTCCTTTGCTTTGCCAGCACCAGCACGAAGGGTATTTGGTGCACAGCACAGTTGGGTGGGAGGGGCAGTAAGGAAGCTTTTTCTGCTGGGTGGCTGGTGCTGGATAGGAGACCTGGCAATCTTAGGCTGCATCTTTGGTATGAAGAGCTGATTCCAGGCTGCATGAGCAGGTTTATGAAATCCAGCTTTGGGGGATTTCAGGGTAGAGAAGGCTTATTCATTGTTCAGACCAATACAGTCAGCACTGAGGAGCCTTTACTTTCTCCTCTCATCATTTCATGTTTAAATGTTTTGTTTCTTTTCTTTAGCACTTCCTCCCCTGCCCACAAAACTACACATCTTATTAATGTTCCTGCAGATTTTATTCCCCTTCTAGATTTATTGCGGCATTAGAGATTTATGTATTTATGTCAAAGAGTGGAACTGATGAGACGGTGCTGTTCCAGGACACTGGTTTTCTGACGTGCTGAGAGCGGCCATTTTTAGTTCGAGGCCAGCTTAGAGCCAAGGAAAGCTGCTGTCTACTAGGTCAACTCTAGTGTAGAGGATCTCTGAGTGGGAGACACTTCAGGGTCACTGGGGAGAAATCCTTTGAATTCTTGGATTGGAATAAGCAGGCCACATCCATCTATTGGGTTTTTCCAATACAGTCCCTCTTTTCATTTTGGTGATAGGGAAAACAGGAGGGTCATCGTGCTCTTTAATTATGTAGGTAAGAATGGATTTTAGAGAATAATTTTTAGGATTCCCATGAGGGTGCTCAGGGAGATTTGGGTGAGGGTAATGTTTTTGACCTTTTCATCTCCTTGGTTTAAGCAGACATGTGGAATTTCAAATTTTCATTGCTGTCTTGATTCTATATCACCTTTGTTTCTGAATATATCCTTCTCTCCCATCCAATGAATCATGCTTTGTGATTTAAAAAAATCTTAAAAAGGAGGGAAAAGAAGGCATTTTAGCAAAACTAACCAACATATTGAGCCTGACAAAATATACAATGTTCTAAACTCATGGTCTTCCACCCTTTTACAGCAGTTGCATTTTCTCATTTTTTAAGAACAAGCTTGATCATTATTATGTGGCATTCACTTTCTTTTTTGCTTTTTTTGTTCTTACAATTTACATTATTTTAGTCATTGTGTTTATTGCTTTCCTGGTTTGGTTTACTTCACCATAAGCAGATCTGTTTAGAAGTTTGATCTGAAAATGTTTCAGAAGTAAGCCATTAATGAATAAATCTTGATGGCAAGAATGCAGAACAAAGGCACATGACCCTTATATTAACTTGTCTTCTTTCCGATTTTAGGAAAGATACGTCGCAAGCTTAATGCCTTTGCAAAAGAGCATTTCCCCATGGAAGGTACGCATATTTTCACAAAGTTCCAATTTGTTTCCTTGATTCCCAGCCTGTGAATTAACTTCCATGAACATATTATTTTTGAGTACTTTAATAGTCTATGTCCTTTTTGTTAGAGTCCACCACAATTGAGACAGTTTCTTCCAGAAGAATTTATGAAAACACTTGAGAAAGCAGGACCTCAGCTGACCTCCAGATTGAAGGGTGATTGGAGAGGACTTTACAGGTCAGTTAATTTCTTCTGTACACATGCAGGTCAGTCACAAGTTCAAGGCTCAGACTGCCAGAATGTTGAGTTCCACTCCTGGGCATAGTTCACTGAACCATATTTAGGAAGGATACTGATATGGAGAAATAACAAAGTCAGAATTAATGTTTGCTTGACTGTTTCTCTCTCTCTTTTAAGACATTTTTTAAAATCTCCAAACTTTGATGGCTGGTTCAGGACCCGAAGGAAGGAGATGACCCAGAAACTGGAAGCACTACATTTAGAAGCTCTTTGTGAAGAGGTTAGAAGATACCTTTTTAAAACTTCTTTTGTATATAAATACCTTTAAAAACAAAGCTCAAAGGTATGTTTGTAGGTAGAAAAATATACCCCCTTGTAGATGTTTTGGAATCTCTACTTAATATGAAGAAATGCAAAATAGATAGCACCATTCTACAGATTTCACATTCGGCATTGGATGTGAATAGGCATTAGGTGAACACGTTTATCGGTTTTTTTGATTACTGGCTTTTTGGACTTCTTCATCTAGTGAAATTTAATCAAAGACTATTATAAAGAAAACTTTGAAATGTAAAAGCTTTGCTTAATTTAGAAGTACCTTTGACAGAGCAGTGGTCTCTAATGGTGTTTGAGTGGGAAACTCAGGTGAAGGAAGCTCTAATCAAAGAGTCACTGGAAGCATTAATTTTGGGGTGGCAGTGCTGTTAATTGGATGGTTTGGGATTGGGACTTCTGTTTTAGTAGTTGCTCTGCACTGACTCTGGGTGTGGCCTCCACGAGGTCACTTCATCTGTTCAAGCCTCAGTTTGCTCCTCTGGAAAAAGGGCTGGATTAAGTCTCAGTGATCTCTGAGGTCCCTGTCAGTGAGTTCCAAGATGGCATGTTATACTCAAGGCTAAGCAGAGGCTGGGGGCTTTCATTAATTTGAATCATTATCTGTGTTCATTGTAAATGGAAAGGCCACAAAGAAGCAGCCTGAAGGATGATCATGCTCTTGATTTCATGAGTTTTGTGTTCCTGGGGATTGCTTACTTTCCTCTTGAAAAAAGAGATTTTCTCATTTTAATTTAAACCACCAGCATGTACAACTGTATGAAATGACTTCTACATATGTCTTCTTTTGGGTTGGTATGTTTTTATAGGATTTGCTTCTCTGGATCCAGAAACACACTGAAGTAGAAACAGTTGACCTTGTATTGAAGCTGAAGAGTAAATTGGTAGGTAGATGTGAGAATTAAACCTGATTGACTTGTGTGAGGAATTCACCAACTCTTAACGCACTTAATGCCAGGCCTTGAGACTGGAGTGTTTTGTGCACTCTGCACGCACAAAAGCTACTGAGTACACGTGGTTGTCATTTTGAGATGAGAAACAAAGAAGCCAAGGTCAGCTTCACCAACATTGTCCCTTTTCATCAGCCCCAGCACTTCTGTGTGTGGGCTGTTATTGAATTTGGGCTCTGTGCATCATTAATACTGTTCAACAGAGTACCTGCTGAAGGAGGCTATAAATTGCAGGAGAAAGGCACTTTAAAATTTTCCACATCAGACAGTTTAAAAACTCTTTAAGATAAGTTGTAAAACCTTGTTCCAAATTAAGCAATTAACTTTTTTTTTCTTTCTTTTTGGTGAGGCAATCGGAGTTAAGTGACTTGCCTAGGATCACACAGCTGGTATCAAGTGTCTGAGGCAGGTCCTCCTGACTCCAGGGTCTGAGCTTAGCTGCCCCTAACGAATTAACTTTTAAAATGATTTTAGATTGTAAATTAATCCTTTAGATTAAGTAAGCTACCTGAGAGCAGGCAGGGACTGTCTTTATTTATTTTTAAAAAATTTTTTATATTATTTTATTTTATTTTAGGCAATTGGGGTTAAGTCACTTGCCCAGGGTCACACAGCTAGTAAGCGTCAAGTGTTTGCTGAGGTCACATTTGAACTCAGGTCCTCCTGACTTCAGGTCCGGTGCTCTATCCACTGCACCACTTAGCTGCCCCGGAGACTAGTCTTTATTAATTGTATCCACAATGCTTAGCACAGTGCCTGGCATACAGTAGGCATTTTATAAGTGTTTATTGGATTGAGGTAGAGACTATGAGAAGCTGTTGCATGTTCTTTATATAGTTACAGGCTCATCAAGAACGCCTGCCTGTGAAACCTGGCACTATGGAAAAGTTACGGACTCACATAGATGCAATTATTTTAGCACTGCCAGAAGACCTGCAGGGCATACTGCTCACAACTGGCACAGAGTGAGGGCTGCCTCCTGCGATTCCCAGATGAGAAGAATGGTGCGACAGGGCAGCCCCCAGACACAACAAAAAGATGCCCCAAGGAAACCCAGCAACATGGCGGAGGAGCGAGAGGACAGCAAGTGGGCTGTTCTCTAATGACTCTGATGTTTGAAGTGTGGAAGTCTGCTCGTGCAGAGGCCTTTCTGGACTGTTAGTTGTGCTTAAGACAAATGCTCTTGAGCCGGCCCAGTGAGAGCCCAGACTGCAGTGCTGGCACTGCGGCTTTTGAACACTGGTGCTGCTGGGCCCAATCATGTCAAAACATGGGACAACTCAGGGAGAAACAATGTTTTGGTCACACTGGCTATATGTTTTTTTAAAGGAAGGAAAAAGTCTCAAGCTGTCCTAGTATAGTTATAACTAATTAATGTAATTAGTGCCTTCCTTTTTCCTACATTTTCACAAAACTGAGCTGCTGGTCTTGACTCGCCCCTGCTGCAATACTTAGCAAGTATTTTACTGAGTGATCATTGCCTACAAATCACGGACGCCTCCTTCCCAAAACATTTATTGATAGCGATGTTTTTATTGCCCTGTACTTTTTCATTCCATTATTTTCTTTGCTATTTTTAAAATTTACCAATTCTCCAAAGAGGGAAAGGTGTCTCAAACTAATCATGGATTTGGAAGGAGAAGCTGTTACCTTTTACCCTTTAAATGAACTAGCTTGGGTGCTTGTCCTCAAAGCCATCTCTCCTAACTTACAAACCTCACAGCAAAAGTATTTTAACTAAAATATTCTTAGGAAAAGAGCATTTAAGGCCTTTTGTGTTGTCGTCTTCGTATGGATTTAAACCTCAGCGTCATTGTTTTGTCTTTTAAAATAACCTACATCCTAATTTAGTGTTTCTTCTTCTGTTGACTGACGTCAGATCCTTTGTTTTCTGTCATAACTGCCTTTTGGACCACGTATCCACCATGCCAAGAAACTGTAGAAGATGGGCTGATAAAATACCACTTGTTGGGTTTGCATTTGAAAATGAGTCCCCTTCGAAAGCCACTCAAAATAGGCCCAGCAGTATGTTTGTACCTAGCTCTGTATCCCGTCACTCTAGAAAACCAAATTTGTTTGCAGTCATTAGCAGAAGAAAAGCGAGGAAAAGGCAAGAGTTGGTCTCCGTTGGTTCTGACTCTTAGGCTGCTTTCTCACCAGGAGAATCTGATTACATAAACCTTTTCTTCATGGATACGGTCTCTTAGATCATACCTCAGAGTTACAAAAATATGCTCTTATTATCCTATTTTAAATAAAGAGTTTGCCTTGGATCAGGTGAGGTATTTTGTTAGCCTACAGTTCTCCTTGGGGGAAAGGGGCAATTACTTTTGTATTATAAAGGATTTCGTATATTTCTGAGAAGCATTATTTAGGTAAAAATGGTCACCATTGTATATTTTTTAAAAAGATGTATTTTAATATTCATACAGTTTGTATGCAATTTGTGACCAGAAGTTGAAATCTTAGTGTTGTATCATGAATGTCTTTAAAATTATGCCACTATATGATACATTGTTTTGCACAGTTAAAGAGTAGCCAAGTTAAAGATTGCCTATTAGTATGGCAGTAGTTTCTTTACATTTAAATACTGTATTTACCTGCACCCTAATACATATTGACAACCATATCATGTTTGCCATTGCTTACTGCTTGTCTAAAAATTATGAATTTGTAAAGGACCATAAAATTACTAGGAAGTTGAGATTGATTTGAAGCTTTTAATTTTTCAATGATTTTCTTATGTCAGAGAAACCACTGTTTAAAGTCTGAAGCCCCTCACATCTTGTGGCTACCATCACCAGCATCTGAAGAAGTCCTGGCTTTATGGCTGCTCTGGAATGTTCTGTGCCTTCTACTGACTGAGGAAATGAACAGAGGTTCTGAGGAGGAGGAATTTGTGGTCATGGTCTGCGAGTAGATGATTAAAAGTCTTGTGTGTTAAAAAGTTTTTGGAATATTGTATGTCATTTTGGGGAAAGAAGGAAACAAACATTTATTAAGTGCCTCCTGTATGTGAGCCATTGTGCTTAAGCACTTTACAAATATAAATTCATTTGATCCTCAGGAGGGGAGAGAAGGGAATAAGCATTTATATAACACCTCATATATGCAAGAAGATATACTAAGCACCTCCCAAATATCTCAATTTGATCCTTACATCAACCTTGGAAGGTAGGGTTTATTATTATCCCTTTTACAGTTAAAGAAACTGAGGCAGAGGTTAAGTGACTCGCCCAGGGTTACACAGTTACAAAGTATCTGAGGCCAGACTTGAACTGAGATCTTCTAGGCCCAGCAACCACCTTGCTGCTTCTAGGTGGCTAGCCATCTTCCATATTCCAAAGATCTGTAACTTGTCTTTACAGGTCCTACCTCCCATAACACAGATCGTAGCCCTTCTATAGCCCCTCTGTGCTGGGAAATGCGTCATCCTGAAGTAGCCAGCTTGGTGACGAGCTGCTACGGTTGGATGACAGACTCCTGGCCTTCACTGGTCCTTCGTGGCAAGACCTGGCAGATCTTAACACTACTCCTCTGGTGTTGCCTTTGAGAAAACCAGGGCCACCTCCCGGCTGTGATGAGCCACTACATGAACTTGGAATTTCAGGGGAAAAAATACTGAGCATTGAATTGTCCTTTCTGCTCCTTTTTACTTAAATTCCACCTCTAAAACTTATTGCCTACAGGATAATGGCTGAGTCACTTCATCTGTTAAACACAGCTTCCTCTGGTGTAAAACTGGGAGAGGACCTGCCCAGTTTGCCTCATGAGGTGCTCAGGCTTTGTTGAATAAATGATTCATTGGACTTGGCTACAAAAATTAGTGGAGTAAAACCGATCCCAGAGAAGTAAACATGGATGAGATAATAGAGTCATTGACATATTAAAGATATAGGGCCATCCTGTGCAAATAGCATCAAGCATCTGTTGTTTGCACAGTACTGGTTCTGGAGTTTCTTTCTATAACATCTTCTAATTCTTTGATTCCTTGAGATGCATGAAAGAAGCTGGTATGAAATAGAGAATCAGCACTTTTCAAATTCATTCCAAATTCCATAGTGGTTTGATAAACAGCTTTTAAATGAGTTCTACATGAACAACAAAAATTTTGCCTTCAATGTTGTTTCTCTGATGCCTGGATTTCACAGGCAGCGCTTGTAGTGCGTATGGGGGACATTTCCCTTGCTAGATCTAATTTTGAACTATCTGAAGTTTGCCCACTCTCAAAGTTCCCAATGTGGGCTGCCACTCACCAGAAATGCTCATTTTCAATTTTCACAGCAGTACCAGCAGTTGGCCAGCCATGTTTCTTTTTTCCTCTCATCTCCCAGGGTAGGATCATGGACACAGAGCTGGAAGGGACCTTAGAGGCAGTCTAGTACCCGGGGTTCTTAACTGGGGTCTATGAAGTTGTTTTTTCTAAGATTTTGATAACTATTTCAATCTAATTGGTTTCCTTTTTATGTATTTAAAGACATTCTGTAAAGGGGAGTCCCTAGGCTTCACCAGACTTCCCAAGAGGTATGTGACTCAAATGAGGTTAAGAACTCTGTAGGAGGTAGTTAAGTAGCAGCCCTGGAATGGCACTAAAGTTAGGGCCTCTGACTCCAAAGCCAGTTCTCCTCCCCGTGGGCCACGCTGCTCCTTCCATAAAGTCAGAGAGAAAGTAGCTGAGTGCAGAGTCCATCTATCTGGCAGTGAAACGATCAGGTTGGGATTCTCATTTAGAACAGCATAGGATGATGGTCTCTAGTGCCTCTGGTGTGGCAGGGACTGAAATAAACATACAAATACTTTGTGGAAGACAGGAATGTTTACATTTTAAGACAAAATAATGAGAGGCAGCAAGGAGCCAACGAAAAGGCCAGAACTGGAGTCAAATCCTGCCTCTGAAACCTAGCTTTGTGACTTCAGGAATAGCTTGATTTCAGTGCCGTTGGCAACTGGGTCAAAGTGTCCAACTAGGCGACTGTCTGCATTGGTTGAGGGAAGTTTTTCATCAGGAGTTCCTTATCCCAGTGAGAAAGGTACGTTACTTCTCTTTTTTTCATATTTTGTAACAAAGAAGTTGGTTAAATAGTAATGAGGCACATGAGATTAAAAAAAAATTTTTTTTGGCAAGGCAATTGAGATTAAGTGATTTGCCCAGGGTCACACAGCTAGTGAGTATCATGTGTGTGAGGCTGGATTTGAACTCAGGTCCTCCTGACTCCAGGGCTGGTGCTCTATCCACTGCACCACCTAGCTCTCCCGGCATATGAGATTTTTCTAGAGGGAAGTGAAGAAAAGGGGAGGGATGTGGGGAAAAAAAGTCTAGGAATGGTCCTGTGAAATATTTTTAACCAGTCTATATACTTACTGTACCATGGGTTAGCCACGAAAATTTTAAACCATGAACTAGGGGTTCTGATAACTTTGAAAGTGTCGAAAGTATTATAAAGTGAACACTCATCTAAAGTATTGGTTCTCAGCCCTTGGCTATCACAATGTTGAAAAAGTCATCTTGATTTAAAACGTCCAGAAACTCATTAAGTACCTGCCTTTCTTGTGATGCACCGAATTTTATAGCTAGAAGGGTCCTTGGGAATTATTTGGTTTAACTTTTTCACTTTGTAGATGAGGAACTGAAGCTCAGAGGGTTTATGGACAGAATCAGAACAGATCTGAAAACCTAGATCTCCTGACCGCCCACTTTAATAGTTTTCCAGTTATTCCCATAATATTGAGATGTAAAGATAAAGATTAGAGGCTGGGAAAAATTCCTGGAGTAATGGATAATAAATAAGTAGAGCTTCCACATGGTCTTTTTAGAAGCAACTACCCCATTTTCATCCCCTTGTCTCATTTTTTTGTTGTGGGTGTGTTCTGTATTTGAGTTAGGATGTAGGTAGGTATGTATGTGCATGTGTGTATCCTGTTTCCTCACTTGTTTACTTAGATGACTGTCATCTAGTAGATCATTCACACCACCTTCAAGGTTTTGTCTTCCTGTCTCCATAAGCCAGTATATTCCCTACTTCCAAGTAGAAATCTGGAAACTCTGTTGTGACTTGCCATGACTTGCCCTTGGAGTTCCTGCCCTTAAACTACTAGTTTGGAAGGGCATGGAGATGTAGTATTATTATTAGTCACAGTAGTAATAATAATAGTAATTTACATTTCTATAACACTGATTTTGGTTGTCCAGGTAGGCAAGAGGGAGTAATGTACTGAACAAAGATGGTAGCATTAGGAAAATGCTTTCACTTTGACTGTAAGGTACCAATGTTATCCACTGTATATAGCCCAAATTATATTGCTTCTTAGTGTTGTTTTGGTTTGCATCATTACAATTATTGGGTACCTTGTGGTTTTGGCCCTTCTTTCTTCGCTCTGCATCACTTCATAGAAATGTTCCCCATATTTCTCTGAATTCTTCATAATGAACATTCCTTGTAGCACCATTAAGTTCATATACCACAGTTTGTTCAGCCATTCGGCCCAAATGATGGGTGCAAATTTTATTTATTTTTGTTACCATAAGTAGTGCTACCATTAATATTTTCTACCATATGAATTAAATTCTGATTACTACTTATAATAAAGTGGCATAACATTTAGAGCATGATTTAATGAAATTCAGACACTGATGTACCTTTCCCTTTTAAATATGGCTGCTGACATTCCTTAATATAATTCTGGTTTTCTTTACTCTAATTTATGTATTCTTTCTATTTTACTTAGTACTCTGAAGCTTCTAGACCTGGGCTTTGCTGACTGTAGTCAGCTGTCAACTTTTTAAAAGAGTTTTGGTATCAAAAGGCTGGGGCAAATCTGTCTATAATAGGACAGACCTTTTTACTGTCTGAATATAGCCTACAGAAAAGGTTTCACAGTGCTTCCTTAATATTATGTCTTGCTAACCAGACATTCCCCTTTTGTTCTTTGTTCACGAAGGGAAAGTCTGTGTGGACTTTAGACTTGATGAAATAAGGTTTAAACTTCCAGATGAAAAAGAAACTGCTACCTCCTTTTTCTGTCCATAGATAGAATGTCCATCTAAAATTATGACGACTCCTTTGTAATCACATTTTTACTTTTTTTTTCCTGAGGAAGTTCTCCTGCTTTAATTTCCTGGTCCTCAACCTTTGTATGAAAGTTCTTTTGCAAATAATGACTTCAGATTACATGTTAACCATCCTCTTTGGTTCATAGGAATTTTAGAATCTGCTGTTTCCAAATATCTGGCCTCTTAGGCCTCCAAATATTTTAATAAGTAATTCATGAAATTTAATAAAGCCAAATAAGTTTGTTTTCAACCATATGCCAAAAGTTAACAGACTGGTTGCCTAGCATAATGCTTTGAACCCAAGTGCTCGAGAAATGCTTTGTCTTTTGGACTGGATTCACCATTTCACTGATAATGAGCACACTCTTTGGCAGTGCAGACAGCAGCCCTCCACCACCTGATCCTATGCAATTCTTGTTCATCTCCTTCCATAAATCCTCCATAAAGAATCTGTGCAATGAAATGGAGGTCTTCAAAAAAGATCTCAAGGTCTTCTGCAGTTTTGTGGGCCCCGTAGGGTACCTGCACTGACCATGTGTTGTTCTTTGCTCTGCCCCCTCTCCTTTTCCAGCTGCACATTTCCTGGATGATAAACCTTACAACGCTGTTTTCTTATGAGTCATTAATTATCATTAATCTAAAAATCTACATGT